TACTTAGCAGCAGAAGGAGCCCTTTGGAGAGCTTAGATCTAACATTAATGCTACTACTATTGGACAGGAATTAATATCAGCGTTGTAATTGTTTTATAAAACACCTCTCCAACCAGGACATTAGTTTGGGCGCCATATATGGAGGACAAAAAACGTATGAATAAGTACATCTATATATAAATTAAATACATAAATGTAATAATAAGTATAATAAGGCAACGAAATGCAATTTAACATCCAACCAGAAGTTTAACATCCAACCAGAAGTGCAAAATAGCAAAAAGTGCAGAGTATGTGGCTATGTAAATTAAGAAATAGTTATGCAATATGAACAGTAAGAAATGCAATAACAGTGCAAATGTTCAGTGGCTGGAGTAGGGTGTGTGGCAGTCAAGCTAGGGTGGAGGGGGGTAAGTACAGTCACAGAGGGAGATGTGTGGGGGTGGGGGGCAGAGTTCAGTAGAGTGACAGCCGCAGGGATGAAGCAGAGCACCCTGTAGCGCCCCCCAGAGGGGAGGAGGGCAAACAGTTCAGTCTCCTCAGGAAGAAGAGACGCTGGTGTGCTTTCTTTACCAGGGATGAGGTGTTGAGGGTCCAAGAGAGGTCCTAAGAGATGTGGACACCCAGGAACTTGAAGCTGGCGACACGCTCAACCTCCGTCCCGTTGATATGGATGGGGATGTGTGTGCCAGTTTTCTTCCGGAAGTCCACAATTAGCTCTTTGGTCTTCTTGGTGTTGAGGGCCAGGTTGTTGTCGGCGCACCACACCGCCAGGTGCTGGACCTCCTCTCTGTAGGCCGACTCATCGTATAAACACACTCACAGGCAATTTAGAGTCAGCAATACCCAGTAGCTGGAGAGAACCCACACAGACGGGGAGAACATGTAGACTCCTCACAGAAAGGCCGTTGGGCAGAGTCAAACCCAGGACCTCCTTGCTGTGAAGCGACAGCACCCCATGAGGCTAGTTAGCTAGTTAATTCGTCTTTTGTACGGTGAAAGGTAGATATCGGTGTGTTGCCTGACCTTTCCTCTTGTGATTTCCCCCCCCCCCGCTTAGAACCAGTCGTTGTCATGTGAGGCTCGTTCGGTCCGAGTGTACCGGGACGAAGTGGACTCGCTGAGGGAAAAAGCAGCCCGGGTGGACCGCTTGGAGACTGAACTGTCCAGGTGTAAAGAGAAGCTCAATGATGTCCACTTCTACAAGACCAGAATGGAGGTACACACAAAGCCAATATATATCCATTGTATTGAGCTCTCCTGTGAAGATTCTATATTGGGTATTTTAACGTCCATCAGGAAGATTTATTTTCATCTTTCTTTGTTTTGGAATATTGTTCTTTCACTTGTGAATGTTATGTTAAGTTCAGTAGTCCACTCAGAGTGTGTGTGTGTGTGTGTGTGTGGTCGTACAGGAGCTTCGCGAGGACAACCTGACTCTCATGGAGACAAAGGTGCTGTTGGAGGAGCAGCTCTCCGCCTCCAGGGGGCGCTGTGATAAACTGCACACACTGGAGAAAGACAACCTGTTACTTCGAGCTAAAATACACGACCTTGAAATGGTATGACACTCATCAGCCACGGTGTATGACCCATGACACAAGGGTCAGCCTTTTTAAAGGTTCTGATCTCATGTGCAGGAGAGGGACGGTGAACGCCGGCGGTTGGAGGAGCTGGTGGAGGAGAACATGCTGCTGGAGATCGGACAGAAACAGAGTATGAACGAGTCTGCTCATTTGGGCTGGGAGCTGGAGCAGCTGACCAAGAACCATGACAACACTAACACAGACCGTAAGACGTGCTGTTCCATTTCTCTGCCCGGACATGTTTTTACTATATTTTGTCAAACCAAATCATTTTTTCCCTTTGCCGCAGCTCGGAAGTCGTTGGTCCATGAGCTGAATGAGTGTGTTTCCAGTCGGGTGTTAAAGCTGGAAAAGGAGAACCGCGAGCTTCAGGCCTCCATAGACGGACTGAAAGAGGACAACCAGCTCCTGCAGGAGCAGCAGCTCCACACCCAGGAGCGAGACAGGGAGAACCAAGGCCTCAGCAAGAAGGTAGAAGGACACATCCGTTCTTTAACTATTACTTGTTACTCATTTGCATTTACTAACAACTACAGTGCGTTTATTTTTGTTTCTTTGTTAGTTGGACCGTCTCCAGGGTTTATTGGACCAGGAGAGACTGACCAATCAGGACATGGAGTCTCTGGGAGAGGAATTATTGAAGGAAAAACAGAGTCTGGAGAGAGAGATGTATACCCTGAGGGCAGAGAAAGACAGACAGGTAGTCAACACACACACACACAGGGACTAAGACTGTGTAAACGTAACCATAAGAGAGCAGAATGCATCGTTGGTTCACACCGTGTTGCACTCTTCTTGTCCAATCAGATCTCTGAGTTAGAGAGCGAGAAGCAGCACCTCTCTGACGCCGTGGCGTCCCTGCAAGAGCGCGCTCAGTCAAACAACGAGTCAAGGGTCCGCGAGGTGGAAACAGAGAACCGCCTCCTTCACCAGAGCATCACAGACACCAGCTCCCGATTGGCTAGCTTAGAAACCCAACTCAAAGTATCCAGTGAGGATGCAGAGAGACTGAGGGAGAAGGCGGGGCGCTGTGAGGAGGTGGAGCGGGAGGCGGCGAGGCTGGAGAGGAGCAGGGACGCCCTGAACAGAGAGGTAGTAATACAAAAAAAAAAATATATATATATATATATATATATATATATATATATATATATATATATATATATATATATATGTATATATATATATATATGTATATATTTCGTTATCTCTTTATGTATTGGTAAAAGTTAACTGGCTTGATAGAAATTATATAATACAACATACTTCCCTATTTTGCTTCTAGGTGGCTTCTCTGCGTGCATGCAGCGAGCGGTCCGAGTCTTTGGAGAAGCAGATGACCTCCCTGGAGCAGGAGGTGCACAGGCTGAAGCGGGAGGCAGAGGAGGCTCAGAGGGAGCAGCAGCGATTGGGGAGGTACGAGGCGGACAACAGCCTGCTGTCGAAGGAGAACTTGGATTTGCGCTGCTCCCTGGAAAACCTGCGCTCTTCGTCTACCCGCCTGGCCACCCTCCAGGAGGAGCATAAAGAGGCACAGAGAGAGGTGCAGGATCTGCAGAGAAGGCTTGAAGAGACCCAAGAGGAGGCACAAGTACAAAGGAAGAGGGCTGAGAGGCTCGAGCTAAACGTGGCAGCCCAGAACCAGGAGAAGCATCGCTTGGAAGAGGAAGTACAGAGGTCCAGAGAGGAGAGGGAAGACGAGGAGAGACAAAGGCAGGACACCCAGGCCAGAGAAGAGGAACTGAGAAGGGAAGTAAGTGAGCTGAGGGAAGAGCGGAGAAGGAGGGAGGAAGTTGAAGAGGAGAGGAGGAAGCTTCAACTGGACTTGGAGCAGTCAGAGAAGAGCAGGAAGTACCTGGAGAAGGAGAGTTGGAGGATCAGAACGCTGCTGGAGGGGAAAGAGACTGAGCTGGAGGAGAAAGCCAGGCAATTGACCACTGTGAAGAAAGAGGGCGCGGCTCTGGTTAAGGAAGTGGATAGGCTGAAGGAGGTGTCCGTCAAAGCCAAGGAGTTGGAAAGGGAGAACAAGGAGCTGCAGAAACAGGCGACTATCAACAAGAAGACTCTGGCCACTCTGAGAGAGGTGAGAGGACACAGTCTGTCTACATAATTCAATTCTCAAATATTGAATATAGCAGTTTGTAAAGTAAAATAAATTAAAATTCTTCAAATCTCAAGAGTGCCGCTCATTTGATCAAAAGCTCTAGAACAGCTAACAGCTATATATGACCAAATGGTTTAAGTCCTTTGACCGGAAAACGAGAACTGTGAAACAGCTTAGTGTGGGTCGAACATTCCTTTTCTTTAACTTAATGCACATTGTACCATCTGTGTGGAAATGTCAATGCGTACGAGTTTCCTGGCTGTAGCTCATGTGTCTGTCTGTGTGTGCGTGTGTGCCTGCGTGCCTGCGTCCGTGCGTGCGTGTAGGAGTTGGTGTCCGAGAAGCTGAGCGTTCAGCAACAGAGCGTTGAGTTAGAGCGACTCGATCAAGAGCTGGAGAAAATCGGGCACCACAAAGAAAAACTATTACAGCAAGAGCACACCCTGGAGGACAGGTAGTTTGCTCTAATACCCTGCAACTGAGCTGCCATGCTAGGCCTGCTGATCGGATCACAGTGATTGAACACACACATTGTCTGATGGGAAGTTGATGGGCTGATTTCTTTTGTCTACACGGCAGCAAGTACAAGCTGCTGGAGTCTCGGCTGGAAGAGACGGTCCAACAGACGTTGAAGATTAAAGAGGAGAAAATCTCCTGTCTGGAGAAGAAACTGGAAGAGAGCCGCACACTAAACACTACGCTACGTGCTAAGCTAACCCCCGTGAGCACACGCATAAAAAAATTATTTTGGAAAATCCCGGTTTTTGATGTGTTTTTTTTGCAGGGTGTGTTACAATTTGTTTTTGTTTTTTCAGGGGGAAGAAAACCACAACTACCAGCAGTGCTCGGGAGGCAACCAGGGTCAAGAGTCAGCCACTATTGAACTGCTCCGAATCAAAGATCATCTCATTGATGTTGAAAAGAATGTAAGATTTTTTTTCCATTGCATAAACGGATTCTATTTTTTTGTGTGCGCATACATGTACATTTAATGATCTTTTGGGTTTTTCTCATATTAATTCATTTTATGGTTAATATAATTTCTTGCACTATTAATGAGCATTATTAATATCATCTGTTCAATTATTGAACCATCAGGCTCAACTTGATGGGCCTCTTTATTGAGTTATCAATGTTATTATTAATATATTTTTTATTGAGTTATTAATTGTTCTGGTGTCATTACTTTCCCAAGAATGCCTCACTGCAGACAGAGAGCAGTCTACTGAGGGTGCAGCTCAAACAGCTGGAAAACCAGAACACGTCTCTTAACAACCAGATGATGGGGCAACAGCGACACACCACCACCCTGCAGGAGCAGAACGCTGTCTTACATACGCAGACTGCAAAACTACAGGTACTTGATGTGCAACTCAGCCACTTAGTGTTGTCTTTGTAAAACTGCCAATAAATGACCGTGTCTAAAGAATTATTGTGAGACTGACGTCACTGTTTTATTCAAACGTTAAAGTTCTGATTGTTTCCTGTGTTTCAGGTGGAGAACTCCACACTCTCCTCCCAGAGTGCATCGCTTATGGCCCAAAATGCTGTGCTGCAGGGCCAAGTCACTGCCTTGGAGTCAGAGATGGAATCGTGGCAGAGGCAACGCGAGGAGGCATGGCGAGCCAGAGAGAGCGTGCTCAGCGACCACGAGCGCCTGCTGAGCGTGCACGAGAGGCAAGCGCACGAGTACGAGCAGCTCATCAGCCAGCACGCTGCGCTTAAGAGCAAGCAGAGGGCGGTGGAGAGCGAGCACCGCGCGCTGCACAGCAAGTAAGTGATGACATCCAAACCTCAGTGGTACCATTTTAGAGTTGGATGGTAGATGCAGCAGCCTCTAAAAAGCCTCTGTTCAGTGTGCAACATTTGGTCATTAATTGATTAATTGAGGAAGCCAGAAGGAATTTAGTCCTCCGTTATAGTCGCAATGAAATCCCATCTTTAGCTTCTGTAACAAATGGACAAGATTGCTGCAGGTTTTTAGGGTCCTGATCCCATACTCATACTCACCCAAATGTTGATTGTAAAATGGGAATCTTCCACATTGTATTATTCTGTTAGAGACTATTTAAATCACATGCCATATTTTCCATCAGCTTCCACCACAGAAGGCTCTGGTTCCAAACGCTTCAGTTTCTAAGCTTAAGTGATTGATAGGATATTAAGGAAATAATAAATTGGCTGAAATTGAAGTGAAGCGATCCGTGAGAGAGATGTCTCACTCTACAGGAGTCGGTGGAACTACCGTTCCAAAAGGTGTCCCTGGATGGGCCCTGACAGCAATGGGACATATCAGTATCAAACTGCATGGACCTAGTACAGATGTCCAGGTTTATACAGAGGAGGAAGTCCAGGTTTATACAGAGGATGAACCCCACAAAGGACAAATGTTAGTGAAAGAAGGAAGGTGGATTTGATTGTAAATTGATATTGTTTATTGTTACACGCTTAACTACACTATTGGCTAACATTAAATGACTGTTGTTGGCCCCGCAGTGGAAACCGGACTGATATTCAAAAAGCAGAAGACATAGATTTTCAGTTTAGCATCTACGCACAGGTAGTGTGGTCCGGTCTCGGAGAAAGAAAGTAGGCGCTGTACTCGGCTACATGGTATCAAATGTTTATGTGAACGGTAGAACAAAACTCTGCTGTCCTCAGGTCGTAATTACGATGACGATATCATGTCCCTCTGCAGGCATTGTACTTTGCTGCAGCAGAAGGAGAAATGGGAGGAGCAGGAGAGGCACGGACGGAAGGAGAAAGAGGAACTGAACCAGGAGATCCAAAAGAGTCGTCTTCTACAACAAGAGAATCTACAGCTTAAAACAGAAGTGGACAGGTACTGTGATAGCAGTGGTTCTCTTTGAGAAGGTCTGCAGTTAGAGGCGTAGCGTGGGATGTTTTGAAGTGGCTTTGTGTGAGGTACTTATTCAAAGTCAATGTATTACCCCGAGGTATCACCCTACCATAGACGTGCTGCCAGTTTGCAGCAATAGCAGGAGCAAAGCAATGTGCTGCCCAAAAAAGTGCATATCATTTTAAAGGTGAACTCTATTGTAAGTCATTTTGCTAGTTATAGAAAGTAGTAGAAAAGCAGGCTGCCCAGGTTAAGCCGGTATTTCCTTCCAGTCGGCCTTCTCTTATGTGTCTAAAATATGTTTGTTTACTTTGCTTTCGTATTGTTTCTCTAAACCAGTGACATCATGACCAACCTTCTCGTCATACATTGACCATGAAAAAGCACCTCATGCAACCCCACTGCCAAAGATCCCAACCAGAACCGCTCGATATTATAAATCTACCTGAATTGATGACTTGACTCGTATAGTGATTCTTTCTCCTCTGCGTCTCCCTTCAGGTTAATAGAGAGACAATTGCAGCAGTCAGAGCAATGTGAGGGGCTGCAGCAGCGCATAAACGAATACAAGAGTTCTTTGGGCTCTGCCCAGATGGAAGAGCGTCAATGGATGGCCCAATATGATTCACTAATGGAGAAACACCAGGGCCTGGATCTAACCATGACCAAACTAGATAACCACTGTGAGGTGAGCCGGGCCGGCAGGCAGCAAGGAGGCCTGGGTGACATCACCTTATTTTACTTTCCTCACCTGACCTGCATGTGTGTTTTTATTTCATTTTGTTTTAGCTGTTGAGCCGCTTGAAAGGGAACCTGGAAGAGGAGAACCACCACCTCCTGAGTCAGATCAACCTGTTGAGTCAGCAGAACCACACTCTACTAGAGAGGAGCATGGAGAGCAAAGAGCTGTATCACCAGGAGCAGAAACTCTACATGTAAGTGCATCGCAACACAAGCTGTGCACCATTAACCAACAGCACTAGAAAACTGTCTGTTCATGTAACTATAGAGCAGACACATCACTAAGGGGGAGTTATTCACAACATTTTTTTATTTGTAGTACACGTTTTGTGTTCTGAAAAGTGAAGCCAAAGCGGAAGTACCTTCAACCTCATATTAACAGTCCAATGGACCATAAAGTGGAGAATGCTTTAGGCCATGGCTACCTTGTGAATGACAGGTCACCATTAGAGCTGTATACGGTGTCTCTTATGTCAGAGAAGGCCAGATATGGTCATCAGTTCACCGGTTGCTAAAGGCAAGATGGCGATGGCCAAAAATGCCAAATTCAAAGTTTAAAGCGTTGGTCTACAAACCAATGGGTGTGTCCTCTTGTTATGTACGGTCTGTGATTGGAACGCTCCCTGAAGAATCACGTGGAATCCACTTCATGGTTTGGATCACATCAGCTAAATTGTACATTTTCCTAATTAGATCTAAACAATTAGAAAGGTATATTGTACACTAAAGTATACCATGGCGACGAATAACAGGTTACAACGTGTTTCTGTGCTTGTTATTTCTCCATCAAGTGATAAGCTGAATGCTCTACGTCGCCAGAAAGAGAAGCTAGAAGAGAAGATCATGGACCAGTACAAGTTCTACGACCCCACACCTAAAAAGTAATACTTTCATAGATTCATTCATTGGTCTTTTTGGCAGAAACTCGCTGTGTGTAATGTTAGGTGTAGAACCAGCGCCATGTGACGGGTTTGTGTTGTGTCTTGTCAGGAGGAGTCAGTGGTCCGGAGCTAAAGCTTTAGCCAAACTGATTAAACCCCGAAAGGAGAGCAGCAGGGAGAGGCGGCCCGACTGCGACAAGGAGGGAGGCAAAGAAAGAGACAGAGCAAAGAGCGCCCCAGACATTCCGCTGCCTTCCCTGCCCCCTCTCCTCCCCCCTGAAACCCCACCTCCCCTTCCCCAGCGCACAGGAAGTGACACGCCGGACAGCAGCCAGCTCCATAGTAACCATAACAACCACATCGGCAGCACCGGTCTGGGACCTCAGAGTCCAGCACTTACACCTATCGTACGAGGTAAATGCACTGGGTCTCCATACATTGTTAAATGTTGCATATTGACTTACAACGTATCATATGATTTCACCTTTACGGACCACAGGAGAGTGGAACAATAGTTTGAAGTGTTGCATTTTTGAATGCATAACCAGCATATGTGAAGAACATTTTTTGCTAATATTTTGGTTCCAAACTTATGGAACTTGGTGACATCTGACGAGGCAAACATCCCTATGTTAATCCGTAGAGGGCGCTGTTGAACACCACATAATATCAATGACCGTTTTGCACATTTATTCTCATTCTCTGTATCTGTACTCTGCAGTTTCCATAGATACAACTTTCTGACACAATCATTTCAATAGCCCACACAGGTATTATGGAATGCTCTAAACTAGGTTTCTACTGCACTTTTGGGGGAATCTGTGATGTATCATTATATTGTACACTTCCAGGTGGTTCCTGATACCTAATAATGTTCACAGTTTAAAAGTTTGAGTCAGTCAATTTAAAATAAGTGTCAAGCCTTTTGTAAAAGGATTAAATATACTATTGTTAGAATAAAATACTGTTATTAGAATACATACATGCTTTGTGGAACATTCAAAATAGGGTAAATCACTATTGAACTACTCGCAATTCATCACCTTCCATCAAATGTATTGGTAATTATATTACCAATAAAGGGTACGATATCAATGTTTATCAAAGGTTTCTGAAATAATACTTCTAAAGCTAAAGCACAGTAAAATGCCTTTGATCAGGCTATGGATCTTATAACAGTTAAACTGGACTCAAGCCGCTGCTCATACACACATCTTGACGACGAGTGATCACAAGTACACATTGCTTTGTTTTCACACATACAGAAAAAGGTATGAGGCCTACCATTTCAGACTTTCATCTTTCTATCCCAATAACGGAAGTGGGTTCTAATGCATGGTCCAAACTTTGTTTGTTTCTATTTCCATATTGTTGTTTTCAATGCTCTACTCTTACATAGAGGTCTCCTTGTGGCTGAGCTCAATTAACTCTCATAGCTCTTTGTGGGAAGTTGTCATTATTATACGTTGAAACAAACTGTAAATCTTAATGTACAAATGCCTTGTTTGTCTACATATTCTTTACACGCTTTGCACTTGTAATCATACTTTTTTAAAATTCAGAGTTAGTTGAGGTCAGCCTCCTTTAGACCAATGCATGATTTAATTATTTTCTAATTTAATTCTCAGATTTTCTTGCACGATGTCTGTTATTCATTCAATAACTTCTTAACTAACTTCCTTTTGATTTACCCGCGTCATTATTTCATGGTTTGCCTTCCATCTCTCCCTCCTATCTCTCTCCACTCTCTCCATCTCAGCTCCCCTCTCCCCAAAACGCTTCAACTTCCTCCGCAGTAAAAGTCAAGAGAAACTTCTCCCCTCCTCCTCCCGTCCCTCCCTCTCTCTCACCAGAAGACTGCGATTCTGGTCCTCCTCTGACATCCCAGCTGGGATGAACACTAGCCAGACAATCTCAGCCAACGGAGTATTCTAAAACCCCTCCTCCTCCTTATCTTTAACTATGTACATCATCGTCGCCATCATCATCATCATCATCATCATCATCATCATCATCATCATCATCCTAATCCTAGCCACTTCTACAACAGAATGCTCAGCAACACTCATTGCTGTCCTTCTCACAGTAAAGCACATATTATACATGCAGGCACTTCATAAACACTAAACAGTCATACTGCAGATGATCATTCAGAACACACACAAACAGGTGCACGCTGCAGGTGTGAGCCAGCCGGTAATACTCGTAAGTAGTGAGCACACACATGTGCAGATGGTCTATGTGTGCACCATGTTTCCCAGCATGCCATGCTAGCCAGCATATGTCTGCATGTCCCTGATGAGCTGTGTTCGTTCTGATAAGTATCTGTGTGAGGGATGTTTGTGCGCTGTCTGCTCACATAATGTTCTTAATCTCCTCTCCCTTTGGATCGCAGCCTTGATCTTAAGAACCGATCTGTTGGCTTTTGTCACCAAACTACAACTGCAATCTCCGTCACCTAGCAACTTTTGTCTATGCCTGTTCACTTGCTTTAACCTTTTGTCTGTCCATCCTCCGTCTGAAATGAGCTTTTTAAGCAGCAGAAGCCAACATGGGTTTTAAGTACTAATGTTTTACGCTAAGATCAGCTAAAAGAAGAAACGGGACACCATATCGGTTTAAAGAGAGGCCGTCTCTTCTAAAAGTAGAAATGATACCGTCTTCCTCCTTCAAAGGAAAATTCGAATGCATAAGAAATTAAACATACACAGACAAAATTAACTTTTGTCTCTGCATTTTGACTTGGTCTGGTACAATTAGTAGCTCAAGTGTGCTATCACTAGCTAGTGTTAGCACCATCACATTGGCTCTCAGTCAGGCTGCCTTTCTATGTCTACGGTCAATTAAACATTTTTAAATAATGTGTAATATCTAGTACTTAACTCTTTGTGAATATAGTTATACGCTCTCATGACTGTTCACAACTTCACTATATCACGTCACAAAGCATTTTATAATGATTTAGAACATCAGGTAGGTAATTTGTAATTGCCGTTCATTCACTGACTGCTTTTGCTATGTGGAGCGCTGCAGGGAGGACATATTTGTGTCCAACGGGAAGTCTGCTGGTTCCCTCGACAGAAAGCCAATGGGATTCTCTCATTGTATTTTGGATTGTTGTAGATAATATCACAACTTTTATTTTTGTAAAGCATAACTTTAATCAACGTTAACTAACGGGATGGGATGCCGGGGACCGCCCTTCCCTTGGCATCGGTTGCAAATGTCTTGAGTCAGTGAACGGACTGCTGATGTCCTGCTTGCCTTCCTTGCTGCTTTATGCCGCGCACACTATCATCCACCCCTATCATGGTCACACTATGGCACGCATATCCAAGACAAATCCTTATGGTGCTGTGATTGGTCTACAGGGTTGGCTGACAGGGGCCGTGGCGTTTACCGCAGCAGTACGCCAGGGGGCAGCAGTGACAGTGTCAATGGAGACGATGGACTTGGACAAGGTAATGAAAATGCCTAATGACGACTAACATTCTGCAAAGATGTTGTGGATCCAGCAGAAAAACTGAGCTTGCTGATGAGTGTGGAAGGTTTCGGCGTTCCCAGAGTAATTACGGTATAGCAAAATATAAATTTAAATATTATTAATGGCATAAAATATAAGAATTGTACAGACTGTACACATGACAATAAATATACTGGAGCCCTCCAGTGTTTCACTCGGTGTCACTGCTTGGTGCGATTGTGAAGAAGGTGATTGTTTGACCGTCAAAACCTAAAGTGAGAATCATACAAATATATTGTGTCCTTTTTCAAAAATGTGTGCCTGTAAAGAAATGCTTACATCTTAAAGTTGAAAGGGGATATTTCTATAGTTTATTACTTATATTAATCTTAGTATGTAATGATGATGAATGATATTATAAAAACCGAAAGATATGTTCCCTCTTAATATGAATAATTCATTTGTTTTACTCCTGGCTGCCCCCCAGGTCAGACTCATGCAGCTCTGAGCTCAACTCCCAGACATCCATCACCCTCATTGGGCCCAACTAGCAGCTCCAGACAGGGACAAGGCCTCAGCCGCAGGACTAGAGGTATGCACACTATTCATTCTAATACCAACATCTAGGGCTGTGCGGTATACGGGTATAAGGTTTCTGTACGGGATGAATTTCTCACGTACCGCTCATACCGGTGTTACGTCATAACCACTGACGTTGCTCTTCGGCAGGCAGCAGATTTTATTTTTACACGTCATCCCAAAGCGCCCAGTGGCCGGAGCTACTTGTCTTACGTGTGTTGAGATTGAGTCATGGTTATAACCTCATAACAACAATGAATAACCCACAACAAACACTCTTTAACAGGGTAAAACACCACGACACGACAGCTGGTGACACATAAACAATTTGTAACACTAATAATTGTACATTTATTGAACTGCATGCTGTACAGCTCACAACAAGAAGTAACTCTGCTACATGTAAACACGGAAAAGAGCGAAACGGGAGGAACAACGAGAGACCAGAGATGCACCAACACAACTTGTGTCCAAGAGAGGAGCTGTGTCTGTTTGGAGGGTTTTTGGTTTTGGAAAATCCAACGTGAGTTACGTTTAAAAAGTTATAAAACAATTTATTGCAAAGTTTGTCGAGCCTCTGGTGGCAACACTAGCAGCCACAACAAGCTACCACGCCAGCCAGTTGCGAGCAAGTTGGCCGGCGAACAGCTGTTTGCAGCCACAACAAGCTAACAAGCTAACAAGCTAACTGCCGTTCAGGTAGCCGCGGTCCTCTTTGCGATCAATGAATTTTTGTTTACTTGAAAACAATATTGTGATATACCACGATACCGTCAGAATCTTAATACTGTGATATTGATTTTTGGCCATACCGTGCAGCCCTACCAACAACCCTTCTTCAGTGTTTGTTTATATTATAATGGTGTGTGAAAATGTACAGGTCTATTATTTGATGAAGACTCTCGCCACAACTCCACTGACTCCGTGTCTGGTCAACATGGCAACGGGGGAGGACGCCCAGGGTCTGCAGACTTCAGCCACAACACCTCCAGCTCCAACTCGCCTGTCAACGGCAGAGGTCCGCACACACGCACACACACACGCACACACACACGCACACACACACACACACACAGCTGTTCAGTGGTATACTGTGGTATCCTGGTAGATAGATAATAAAGTGACATTATCTGGTCTCTATACAGCTCATGCATGTTTTATATATAATATTCCTCAGGTTTCAGTCTGTAATAACTCAATATTTCTGACTGTCTCAGACTCAGCAGATCGTCAGGCTCGCTCAGCCAGCATCTCTAGTGATGACGTCATGGGTCTGAGCCAATCACAACTGACACTGTCACGTAGCTCCACCCTACCATACGACCACGCACCACAGAGAGCCCAACCGCAACGAGAAGGCGGGGTTAGGACAAAGACCCGCCCATCATCCCCTGGAAGTGAGATGGTGTCGCTGGAACAGTTTCTACAAGAGAGCAACCAAAAGTCCCCTCCTATGGTAAGAGTCATATGCATATATTATGAAAGGCAGGTTTGCTAATATGTTCTGTATGTACACACATGGAAACAGGTACATAGACTCAGTATCCACCTCGCTCTCTACACATCTCATCCCTGAGACAGTGCGTTACCCTACAATTAAAACATTGTAATACTAATACAACACATTCCTTGCCTCTTCTGTGGTGCATTTTAGTGCCAAATGGGTTAAAGACCACGGCCTCACAGTGACTAACAAATACTCACCAGTGAGACGAGACAAATTGTTATTACAGGGCTCCCACGGGTGTGTTATTTCCATTGGAGAGGTATCTGTACAGGTCATGTCAGGCATTATAATGCGTGATTGGGGTAGAAAGTAAGACATTACAGATAAGTCGCCTCAGAAAAACGGAATGTGTTTTTTATGAGAATAAAATTCCTTGCCTATGATTATGAATGAATCACTCTCAATCTTAAACCCATCTTGAAGATAATGGTTGATGTGGTGCATGTTGGGATTAATATGAAAGCATAAACAAGGCAATGTTATGATGGAAAGGAGCCGTTGATGAATTCTCCTCCGAGCCTCGAGCCCTCGCAGTCTGCTGGTGTTTGTTTGGTTTTGAGCGGGTCATTCATCGCACATAACACTCACCGGACAGCCATGAGACCCCTTGAATTACCTCCCGGCTCCTTGTGTGAGACTGTATGGTGCAATCGTGCAGTTAAACTCAAGACAGACAGGCAGGCAGACAGAAAGAAGAAGTCCTTTCTTTTAGTTGGCTGTTGTTTGCTGAATTGTTATTAGTCTGGAGAAAAGCCAGTGAAGCATTTGTTTTCTTGGGTCAGATATTTGCCGTACTGAGAGGAGGTTTGACTGTTTCAGGATAAAACAATCTTTAAAGATGATGACATAAAGGAAATAAATTTAAGCTCTTGAGTTCCATCGGACCGCTCAATGCAGTTCTGTTGGACTGTATGTCATTTCTTCCTAGAGTCACATATTTGAGGTTACGCCAGCCTTTGATCAGTTAATAAACAGCCTTTAATGTGCTTCACCATAGAGCACATGAGTGGCCGTCCAGAAAAGTGAGGCTTAAATGACGTGTTAGTCATTGTCCAAATTCCTGAAGTAATACTTTCCACCTCTATCCACCAGCTGTGAGGGAGACTCCTGCCTACAAATCAGAAATTTCATTTCCACCTGTCATCAGTGTTCAGACCGTGAGAATATCGCTTAATGCCGATCTGCTGTTTCATTAAAAGAACTGTGACGCCCATCATAATTCTTATTCATCGATGACACCAAAAACAGTTTGCTAATGACCTTGCAATAATTTGTTTTCTCGCAAGAAAAATCGACTTGGGTGAAAACTGTGTTCCCAATCCCAATTTTAGATTTTTTGCTTGTTTAAAAATGTGTTTTTACCAAAATAACATTTTGCTAGCTGTTTAGCTGAATCTCATTGGCGGATGTACTCTGCTAAATGTTTTTATAATACAGTGTTAATACTGGCGGGCGGGGGTCATCTCTTTTGAGCCATATTCTGGGAGGTACCACATGCTCCATATTCCCAATGTTTCCCTCAATCCAACTACCACAAAGCATTTTACACACACAAAACAGGGCCAGGCGAAGTACTTGTCCAACGGGTTGCTGCTTTACGGGGCTCTACAACTTTTCTTGACAAGGTTTTACGTTCCACGTCTTATGGCACTTTCCCCCAACACATGTTGAGTTCAGTCTGCTTTAGTTCATTTGACAAAATTAAAACGCAGCTGTAACAAAACAAGTTACTGATATTTTTTAAATGGTTCCCGAAGTTCCATGTGATTACAAAAGCCTACAAAGTCCACAACGAGGTGGAGACATCCGTCCAATGTCCAAAGTTGGAGACAGTCACTGAACCGAGTAGCGTACCATACTAATTTGTCACACAGCAGCTATGTCCGTAATCAATCAGTATATACAGACGGGTAGTGGTGTGTGACCTGTCATCTGCTGTGTCGTTAGATATCGGAGTCACTGAACCTGTGAAACCAAATTTCCCTTATTTATTCTTTCATCTTTTTTGTCTAGGTGTCAACAGGAAGCAAGGAGGACTTAATGACGGATTATTTCACCAGAAGTCCCGCCTCCATGGCTCCCGCTGGTAGAGATCAGGTGACCCCCACCAGCTATGTCACGCCCACTGTGCAGTCGTCCAACCAGAGGCCAGGCCAGAGCGTCAAACCCTCGCCCCGGCAGCCTGTAGGCCAATCCCCGGTCTCCGGCCAGCTCGTCACCCAAAGAAGCAGCCAATCACTGAGCAGGGCTTTCAGCCTCGCCTCAGCTGATCTCCTGCGCTCCAACGGGCCAGACGGTTTCCGTGGAAATGAAGGCCAATCAGATGTGGTCATTCGGAGACAAGGCGGGGGGGCTAGTGCAAGAGAGCGTCCGCTCTCTGCTCGACTGGCTGGCCCGACCAATCAGCATGGAGAGGGCAGCTTCTTGAATCCGCCTATTCATCATTCGTCCTCTCTCAACCTGCAAACAGAGAGGCAAGCAGAGAGAGAAAGAGAGCGAGGAAGGACACCCGTCTCTCGAAACGGCCCCACCTCGTCCACTACCTACCACCACCGCGGAGAGGTCGCCATGGTAACCCCAGTCAGGGCTGTGCCAGCAACGCGGCCTGACGAAGCCTCTGAGCTCGGGGAGGTGTTAATGGAGGGGCAGTTGGGTGACTCCTCCCACTTAAATAAAGAAAGCGAGACGGCGGGGTGTGTCTCTGTGGAACGCCCAAAGAGCACGCCTGCTTCCCCTGACCCCAACGACGACCCTCAGACTGTGTGGTACGAGTACGGCTGCGTCTAAACACTGACTCTAATGAACCTCCCTGGGTGTGGCTGTGTCTAAAGACAGAAACCAAATGCTCAGACTACAGTCTGCTGTGGCTGAATCCAAACCCGAGCAGTCTGTCTCTGAACTGCGTTTTGTACCGTGGCATGCATTGTGGATAAGAGATCAATCGTTGATAATCTTCCTTAGCATTCAGACATGAACGCCGCTACACTATAGACGCTCTCTGAGATGGCTGCAATTCATTTGTCTGCTGTTTTATTATCGCCCCTGTTTTTAAATTTAAATTTAAATGGAAATCTGAAGTCTCACAATCCAGCACACGTAAAACCTACACGAGTTCGCGTCCTCGATGCAGAATACTGAATGGCTTGGTCTATGAGCTGGAACTCTTTTGACCTTTTGGCCCCTGAGAAGGTTTACCTGGAGGCCAGAGAACAGATCTTCCTCACCGAGAGAAGTGGTTTGACTGAAGCGAAGGCGACTAGAAGCACCAGAACGACTGAATGTATTAGATTTCTCCTCCTCTGTTATCCTGAACAAACACTGGAAAAGAGGAGAGAGAGTAGGAATGGACTTGAGGGGATTGAAGCAGAGACTGTCGATGCAGAAAGGCGGGGAAAGGTGAAGAGCCAGAATTAATCAGGAGGATGGATAGATAAACCGGGCCGGAGGGGAGGTGCTCATCCCAGTTAAACTACAGTCTTCTCTCTCCATCTTTTAGATTATGTCCCAGCATGCAACACTCTTAACACTTTACTGGAAATGTTGCACATTGTGAACCAACAGTAGTTTTACTTACACACACACACACACACATGGATACATAATGATATACACAGACAGAGAGGAGCTGTCCTTCAGGGGCTTGGTTGTTGAGTTGGACTTTGTTTACACACACACACCACTGGGTAAACCACTGGGTTTTGGTATGGTGAAGTGCCCACTGCACAGGGAGACACTGGGATCGGGAGAGTTACTCTGCACTTTGGCAATAGAGGTTTTATGATGACTGAAAGTGTTTGTTTGTAAACATGATTGTGTTCTCATGCTATGATGGTGAATCATGTTGTGCTCCTTTCACTCAGTCCGACGCTTCGATCCACAATGGAGCTCTGTAGAACCATAGAAGACGCTGAGTATTTCACCTGTCGACATAACTCTTGTATTTCACCTGGTCTGTATCTTCAAGGTTTTTGTTTTGATGTGACCGACTTGGGACAACCGTTTTACATTTTGTGTCTTTTACATTATATGTGCCTTGTAACTTTATGGGAGGAGAAGCCTCTTCCTCTGAACCTGCAAGGTGCATTATTGGAGGGGTGGGAACACAAGTGCCCCCATAGCCGAGTTTGTTTTGTCTCTGATTTAATACGTCTGAATATAATCATTTTTATGGTGTTGTTAGGGTTTGAATTGAATTGCTACTTGTAATTATTTGAGCAACAGTATATGGATGAGTAGCTTGTGCAGTTTGAAGAGTGAACAAAGAGAGGTGAAGCAGACGGGTGGTGCTACTGTGACCACACAGGAAGGATGCTCCAACGACGTGTCCCCTTGTGGGTTTGTGGGAGTAGACTGGTTCATTCCTCTGCAGCGTTCGCTCTACTTCTGTGAACCATCTGAGCCGGTTTAGTAGATGTGACGGAGCGCTGGCGCCGCCCAGGTGCTGTCGCTGCTCCGTTACCCGCTGCCGCCTACAGTGCTCTTCATCACTTTCAAAAAAGTGTTGACCCCATTTATCAGCTAGACACACCAGCACGGGGAAATGGGGGCCATGTTGAAGAATACCAAAGTTCCCCTTAAGTGAAATGTGTCTTAATCACACACACAATCTCACACAACAATGAGACACAACAAGTCAACACCACTGGAGCCTCTACTAGTGGTGAGAGGTATGACTGATAGGTTTTCCTCCAAGCACCGCAGACAAAGTGAGGAGGGGGATGAAGAGGTGGGGGGATAGAGGAACGTGGAAAAAATAATCTTATTCTAATTACTGTGATGGACTGACCTTCTTCTGGGACTGCTGTCTGTCAACGCTGACGACTGACTTCAAAGACTTTCCTGAGAGCACTAAGGGGATGAAGAGGAGAAGGAAGATGAAACACTGGAGCAAGTGAATATTTGACTGGATTCCATCACTTACCTTTCCGCTCACCTGTTGAACAAAAAGCACACGTCAATATGCAACAAGCTAAATTATTTTACATGTAACATTTGTACATGACATTAGAGTTTTATTAACGGGCAAATGTTCCCAGGCTTTTTAGATACTTTTTTGTAAAACCCTCTGGAACTGGAGACCAAAAACCCACCTATTTTCTGAATAACCCTGTATACTGGGGAAAGATGCAGTTCCAAGAGCTTTTTTAATTTTTTATTGTTAAAACATGATTTGGTACATGTAGGGTGCTGCTGTCAGTAGACCGGGAACCGTCTCCTTATTGCTGTTTGTCCCTGCTGCTCATGAGCACGATGCCCGGTGGGCCAGCGGGCGGATGAACACCAAGGACGAGAGAAGTGAGAGCAGAAGGTGGTGAGCGGCCACTGAGGTCCCCCTGGCTCTCATGTGACTACTGTTTAGAAGAAGCTACTAGAGTGACTTGGTAGAAACTGAAGTTGAAGCTTTCTGCTAATAAAGATTTACAAACTTGAACTGATGCTCCTACTGCATTGTGTTTTTCATTGTCCTTTCAGGACGGTCAGTCTTCGTTGGTGCCAACTGCGCTCAAGAGCTCCGTACTTAATATCAGTGTTGTGAAGGCAACCATTCCAAATGTTTACCTTTTTTATTTCCTTTTGCTGAGTGTAAAATATCATGGACAAATGATATGAATGTTGTGCTGCATGTGGATGGCATCAGCTTGACAGGTACCAAATGTTGCTGATCAATCATTGGTTTGAAATTCGAAAGGCCGTTTTCACAGTGGAAGTTTATTGTTATTATTATTATAACTATGTCTCCGCCCTGTAAATCTTAGCAGTATGACGTTTAAGTACAAAGTGTGACCCTGATGCTTTATTCCCCTTGTGTTTGTGAAACCAAAAGCACCGCATCATTCAGATACACGTTTTGTTGAGATGCTCGAACTGTGATTGTATCCACGGTTCATGATTTGCTGCTGAGGGTTCGTTACCATGCACGCGCATCCCCCGAAGTCACGAGCACTAAACAAAAGTGGACCGAGACATAAAGCGTGGCCTTTTCGGCGCGTTTGTGTGTAGGCAGGGCGTCTGTGCTTCAGGAAGATGGACCACGTGTGCGTGTGTGCGCGCGTGTGTGCGTGAGAGCGCGTGAGAGCTGCTCTGTGCGGCGGACCTGCAGAGCGGAGGACCCGGTAAGAAGCCTTTCTTCTCCCACGCAGGTTTTTAGGACAACCGGTTGTCCTCACAAGGGATTGTGTATTGTTTCAGTGTTTATTATTCGTTGTGTCTTTGGCTCGAGGAATCTGTAGCTGAAGAGACATCAGCGCACTCCTGTTGAATATGGGTTATTCATGTATTGTTACTATAGGTTGGTTTGTTACTGGGTTATTGATATGGGTGGTTATTCATATGGTTTAGTAATCTGGGTTATTATGGAGCGATCGCTTGTGACAGTGAAGAGTTGAGATGCCTAATAAATGCGCTCTCCAGTGCGGAGTTATTAATAATTGATCTGATCTATCAAGTCGTGTCAGTCAGGCTGTTGGAGGAGACAAGCAGTGCTCGTGTCCCACTGAGACATTTGCCATCACTGGTCCTCATTTAGTGTGATATTCACAGCGTGGTCGTGTGTGGAATCAGAGACTGGCTCTGAAGTGATGGGATACAGCATTTCGACTACTTTCTCTCTAATCTATACAGATAATGTAAATAAGGAGATCGCGCATGCACATTAATGCAGGAGTAGCAGGAGAATTTTGATGATGAAGTTACTTTGGTGCAGTTGGACAGTAAGACCGATACTTCCTCTCTGGCGGTGTGGCTGGCAGGAGGATTCTCACGGGAGCCGTAACTGAGTGACTGATTACATTAACTAGTGAGGGGAATCAAACTGATGCTCCGTTGGAAATATAACTCAAGCATGAGAGCTGCAGTAATCCGTATTTTCCGTAATGTGTAACGTGATAGGTTGGCCTGTAGGGAACGGTATGACACGTCTGTACTGAAGCTGATCATAGATGATCCATGAGATGCGCCTGCAATTCTAGAAAAAACATTGAACCTTGAGTTAAGAAATCTTTTGCTTCAAGCTTTTTATTTACACAGAGGGAATTATTCAAGGTTAAAGGGATGTTTTTATGGTTTTACCATTCAATGAAAGATATATTCCAAATCCCTACAGTGCCACAACATCCAGCGTTATTTGATATTCTGTCTTTGGAGATTTTGTTCTGTTGGTTTGAACAACTTTCAATTGTGGTTCAATTGTGTTAATAAAGGGATTTTAGTTTTCTCATGACCAGCTTGTGTGTAGTTCTCCAGTTTATACATTGCTTGATACGGTTTGCCTACAATACAAGTCAATACAGTCTTTCTACTTCCAATTTAATATGAGATGCACTTTAAATTTCCCATAACCAAACATTGACTCCCTGCCCACAAAAACAGAACCCCGGCCCAGCAGCTCTGCTAATTCACCCTCAGACTTCCGTCACATACAGGCACTTGTCAGGCTGTCTTGCACCAACTGACTAGGTCCATCATTTATAAAAACAGCTTTTGTTAAAGCAAAGAGAGAGTAAAAAAGTACAAAATGAAGAAAATTAACCTAAGAAAACAGGATATAAAGGGAAGTCCTTAACACTAACCAATAACACATAAGACAAACACTGCAAATGTAATTGATTTCCCCTCACTTTCACATCAGCAGTCACAAGGGGACTCTGCAGCCGCTCGCCTCCAAACTCACGAATAAATGTTGATTCCTTTTGACTGCGGTTCCTTTTTAATCTCCTTACAACCCGCACTTGGGTCCAGGCCCAGACATTGGGCACCAGTTGGATAGAATGCAGGGTCCCTTTGTGGACACTATGTCCATTCACCCATAGAGAGGCCATCTCAGCTCTCTGCAGACATCAGCAGGTCCTGCTGTGTTTCCAGTGACAGTGGCTTTGCATGCTGAATACAGCTCAGATGGTAGTGCTACATGCAGGGATCAAGGACTGCCAAGGGCCTGGAGGAGATTCCAAGGGGCCTTTGTCACTTACAGGGGGGCACAAGGGAATCAAATGACCCTGGTGGAGGTATCCTGGTGTCCTGCAGGGGGTTACAGGGTTCCTAAAAGGACCCTTGATGATACATCTCAAGTGGCTTGGAACTCCCCGAGGACACCGTAGACCTGCATTTGAACCACAAGAAAGCCTTTTCTCTTAGGGCCCCCTGACAGTCCCTAGTAAAATCCAAGGATACCTTGAAGACCCCCAAACTCCCCCTAGAGGCAGCTGGACTTGTGTGTGTCTGAGTGGGTTAGTACACAAGACTATTGCAGTTTCCCCTTGAGACCTCCGCCGGATGCTTAAGAGGGTCTCTGATTGCAGGTGTTGTTGTCATTGATGACGGAACTGGGTCTAGGAACCGGTCATTGTTGAGGACCAAACAAACCAGTGGTGTAGTCTACGTGATACACAGGTATACCCACTAGGAAAAGTCAAGGAACAAAAGCGTGATAATACGTAACAACAACATTGTGGCAGAACTGTCATTCATAAATTCTTGCTTACTGACGGACGCGTTCTCCTAACTAACGTATGGTCCTCCCCTCATCCCCCCGTCAGCCGGCCGGTCCCTTTCCCGCCCCTCCCTCACTCTGGGACAGGCGAGAATGATTCTCGCTGGGAGGGGAAAATGCCACTATACACACTACAAAAATATAGACTACACCACTGAATTGAACCAAGAACATCCTTGCTCGATGCTGCCTGGGATCTTGTCGAGGCCCGTAGAAGGTCGCCATATGCCAGCAGGATTCAGGGCTTCCTTCTTACTTATTGTGCTACAACAAAGAAACACTTGCAATTTGTCCACATTTAAATACTGTGACATGATTGGACAGAATAATTATATTGCGGTTATCACTAGAGTTCTGTAACTGTACGAGGTATGTCCCAGTACACTTTATGAAAGTCTTGGGGCTAACAAGGATGAAGACTGGATACCTATTACTTTTCTTCTTCCTCCTCTCACTGGTTGCGTCTTTCTCCTTCTGTCTGATGAGCGCATTGTTCCAGGGTGAGAGGGATTAGTTCTAATCACTGAAGAGTACTTAGTTATTATTCTGTGTGAGTGTTTACTGGTAGCAGGTGCTTTTTATAAAGCCCCTTTAGTTTACCCTAACGCGGTCCTGTTGTAACTGATATCTACTGTTGCTTCCATGTCTCTCAGGATACTCGACTCTCTGAACTGAAGCTGGCTGGTGTAAAGCTCATTTCTTATTTACATTCAGCTCCATAGGCTTCCATCCATTTGAGGAGAAAAGCACTGAATGCAATGATACTGAGGCATGTCTCCATCCTACTACATGAAATGCTGCTTTCTATTCAAATACTGTATGTGGGGATTCTGGAAAGCAGATGGAGCTCATGAATTATTTGTATTGACGGACACCTATTGCATTGCCTTATTAGCTTCTCTCATCGAGAGGGGTGTTCACTTACCAAGCAAGTATCAGGTTCATCTCTTATTATGTTTTGTGGGCGGTTGAATAATGTTTGACTGCACCGCTTTATTGCATTTTCAACTGGAATTGAAACGATAAGGACAGTAAGGCCCTAACTCATCACTCTCTAATTGATCATTACTTTCAATTCCTTCATTATCTATTGCACTGTCATGCCACAAAATGTTGGGAATGGCCTTACACTGGGCACCATTTTGTTGGGCACGTGTAGGGGCAAGGTGTTGGTTAATAGCTAGTTTTAAATTAAATCATTGACATTAATAGACTTATTAATAATCACAAAGATATGTCTCAAAATTAATAAATATCCGGGCTCGACCCTAAAAAGGCACAGATAACCAAACAACAAATCAAGTGTTAATGGATATTCAGTCATTAAGCGCAAGGAATTGAAGGTTTGAGTTTGTACACTTTTATTAACTTCCAACAATACTAATCTGATCAATACCATTTGAAATCAACGAAATCTATTATACGATACCCTAATATCTACTAACTAATAAATACATGTGTGTGTGTGTGTGTGTGGATAAACTGTATGTATGTAGATGGCACTGTAGGGATTTGGAATATCTCTTTCATTGAATGGTAAAACCATAAAAACATCCCTTTAACCTTGAATAATTCCCACTGTGTAAATAAAAAGCTTGAAGCAAAAGATTTCTTAACTCAAGGTTCAATGTTTTTTCTAGAATTGCAGGCGCATCTCATGGATCATCTATGATCAGCTTCAGTACAGACGTGTCATAGCGTTCCCACAGGCCAACCTATCACGTTACACATTACGGAAAATACGGATTACTGCAGCTCTCATGCTTGAGTTTTATTTCCAACGGAGCATCAGTTTGATTCCCCTCACTAGTTAATGTAATCAGTCACTCAGTTACGGCTCCCGTGAAAATCCTCCTGCCAGCCACACCGCCAGAGAGGAAGTATCGGTCTTAGGGTTAGGGTTAGGGTTAGGGTTACTTGATAGATCAGATTGTAAGATAAGGAGGGGAGCAAGCTGGACGCTAAGCTACCAACCACATGGCTGAGGTGTTGCTAGCAGGCTGTGTTTGTACACCACGTGTGTTCCTCACATAGTTAAACCTCTGTCTGTAGGTAACTATTTGTGTAGAGGGACAGGTGAATTGGTAAGTAAATAGAAGTAGAAATCAAAATCAGATCTTATTCAGAACTGTGAGGCACGATAGCGGGTTCATAAACACGCGCAATCTCTCGTTAAAGAATACCGTAAACATCAAAACAAAAATAACAACACATGCTAATCTAACTTTTGCCCAGACATAGCCTAGCTGTGCATTGTTTTTGATTTGTTTAACTTGGTGTCCGCTCCGTCCTTTGTTGTGGGGATCGATTGGGGATCATGAGGACTGTTGGGTTTCTTGGTGGCACAAAAGCTGTTCCTGCTCTTGTAACACAAGTTGTATCCAATGGGGTAGAAGAAGTTTTCCTTCTTTGTGAGCTGCTTGGGCCGGAAGTGAAGACTGGGGCAGCCAGACTTCTCTGGAGCAGCTAGAAAATGGTTTGGGTTGGAAATGCCTGAATCCTTAATCCAGTCCTTGACGCCATCCGATTTGGAAAGTTGATTTGAACTCTTCTTCAACCTCTCATTGACGAAGTCGATCCGGAAAAATTGGACCCTGAAGCGAGCCCAAAAGATCGTAGTCGACCCCTCTCACCCCGGACAAAACCCGATTGTGCCCCTTCCATCTGGCAGGAGACTGAGGTCCATCAGGACCGCCACATGAACAGTTTCTTCCCGTTGGCATCAACAGAGCCCGGTCCCCCACTGACTGACATTCCACCGGTCACTTTCTTTCATTCTGCACACGTCACTTTCACCTGTCACTTTTCACTCATCACTTTTGTCACTTCCTGTTCGCTAGTGCACTTTATTTTTTCATTTTTAAATATTTTTTAACTTTAACTTTATTCTTTTATTTTAAACTAACCCATAGCCTTATTCTACTAACCCATAGCATTAGCATTTTATTTTTCGTCTATTGTCATACTGTCTACTGTCATGCATCAACCGCCAAGTCAAATTCCTTGTATGTATGACATATTTTAGAAATTTTAAATAAACGTTCACAATGGTATTATCCTCATATTAGAAATTACACACTTTCCAATTCTTCAAAAAAACGAACTATGTTCAAAGATAAGCTGGAGATCCCCATTACAGCCGGCTCATCAGAGGTTGTGATATCTTTCGCCAAAGTTCACTTTCTATCATTTGAGTAACTGCCGGCCTTTGTATGCCTCTGTTACTTAAAGGCACCATTAATAATTTGAAAGACCCCAGGCTCGATGTCTGTGACAATCATAGCAACTTTTGTTTTTTCATTACAGATGGACTGTTGAGGCTGAATGTTACAGGGATGCCATTTGAAAGCTGTCACGCCAACGTGATGTTTTAACAGTAGATGTTAGCACCTATCTTGAGATTGGCTTTATATAAACAACGTTCACCAGAATGTGGTCTGCACCTCATTTGTTTGTAGTTCCTGGCTGAGTTTGTTGTAAATCAAACAGCCACCCGGTGAATAAATCCCAAACTGAGAGACGGATCACAGAGTGCTCACAGCAGAGGTGCAGGGAGAGGCACATTCACACCACGTTTGATTGAGCGGTCTTTTAGGGAAGTGGGTATACACACTAACATCCTGTGATATGGAAGAAATGTGTTTGTGTGTCTATACAACACATGTAACGGGATGGGGGTCAGGAGGATGATGATGATGATGATGATGCAGATTAGGGTTTTAATTGATGTGATGATGGGGGAGAGCATATTCTCTGTAGCCGTGACAGGATCCTTTTTAGTGGCTGATTTACATCTTGCTGTTGCCACGGTTACTGCTGACAGGGTCATTGATCAAAGAGCAGCCATGGCAGTCGGGCCGCTGTAGGGAAGGATGTTAAGCTGTTGTTCACACGTGCAATTTGTTGTCATGTGTACTCGCACAGCAGCTGTAGTTGTGTACGGCCAACTTACAGCATGACTTGTATTGTGTGTGTAAAATGTGATGGAACGTCAACATGCTGTACATATATACAATATTCATACATTCTACCGTGTAAATAGCAATATGAGAGACGAGCGGCCCCCACTAACCCCACAGGTGATTTAAGCACAAAGAGCCTCTTCATCCTGCGCTTTGATAGCAAACAGAAAAAACAATCCCCTCTCTCCATAAGAATTGTAGTTCACACTGCGCGTGAACTCAGTGCTGCTTTGCTCCGTTCTGCAGCAGGCCTCTCTGCTCTACGTTTTACCTCATTTCATCTCAATCCTGGTATGAAAATATGAGGCATAAAACATATTGTGGGGCTGCAAGCCGAAACTGGTGAGCCGTTGTCACACCAAATCTGGTGGCTCATATGGTCACATTCAATGTATTCAATTTATTTAAAGGAATAGAGCCTTGTACACTTATACGATATACGACTTGTTTCATGAATATTGCTCACACATTCCTAAAATGTAACAATATTTTAAAAACATGCAAAAGGCTCTTGATAAGATCAGAGCATTATTGATCCCAGGCGAAGGAAATTCAGTTGTTATAGCAGCCTAATAGTCAATGAAGCAAAGATGAAGAGTGAATGAGTGAATACAATTGTTTATAAGTGAATACAATTGCACAGCATGCAGATGTTAGCTGATGTAGTTTGTAAGATTCGGTGTGTGGGGTTGCAGCTAACGTAGTGATTGTGTTGTGTTTATAGTTTGACCGCCTTTGGAAAGTTGAGGCCTTGTGTGTAAAAACCTTAGACCTGGAGGGATGTGATCCACTCTCTTGGTCTCCGCCTGCAGCGTTCTGACTGACTTTTTACAGAGACCTGTGAACACACCGAGTCTAACTGTTCACAGGTAGTGGTTTTGAAGCAGTCCCTCTGGGTCCCTCTGGCCTCCTCAGACCATTTCCTTACAGATGTTGAGGTTGGGGTTGTTTATTCCTCATGGGTATGTACTGTAAATTGGTAGTGAATGTGACAGGGAAGCAGAAAGAAAGTGACCGAGTTCAGGAGGAGGGGCTGTTTCGGCCGAAGTAAGGGATGTACATTAACTACTGCGATGGCGCGAGACAACTCCTTCAACGCACCACGGCCCAATTCCCAATGCCCCACTGGGGCAGCAACTGGACCACAGCTGCAGGAAAAGCTCCGTTCGCTTCTTTGTGACCGGCTCAATCAGTAAAGTTAGTCCACGTGTGCAGAGCGAATACCTCTTCTGGGGAAGGAATTCAGATGTAGGATTCAAACTTATTCCATTTACCTTTCAGCCTACGTGTTCAAAACATAGGTTAGATTGACACTTGAGGAATGCACAGCATTCCTCAAGTTTAGGAAGACCGTCTGGTACGCTGCAGCCACAGCCAAGCTGTGCGTGTCATCCGCTCTGCAGAGAGGGTGATCGGCTGCAATCTGCTGTCCCTGCAGGACTTGTTCGCTTCCAGGACCCTGAACAGCGAGCTAAAAAGATCGTAGCCGACCCCTCCCACCCCGGGCAAAACCTGTTTGTGCCCCTTTCATCTGGCAGGAGGCTGAGGTCCACCAGGACTAAGACTTCCCGCCACACAAACAGTTTCTTCCCGTCGGCAGTCGGGCTCATCAACAGAGCCCGGTCCCCCACTGACTGACATTTCACCAGTCGCTCCCCTTCATACTGCACACGTCACTTTCACTTGTCACTTTTCACTCGTCACTTTTGTCACTTCCTGTTCGCTAGTGCACTGGTGACTTAAACTAACCCATAGCCTTATTCTACTAACCCATAGCATTAGCATTTTATTTTATTTTATTACTCGTGCACTGTTGTCTTGTTGTCTATTGTCATACTGTCTACTGTCACACACCAGCCGCCAAGTCAAAGTCCTTGTATCTATGACATATTTTGCCAATAAATGTTTCCTGATTCCTGAAGACAGGCAAGAAGCATCCAGAGGGAAAGAAAGAGAGAGAACCGGGGCATTGTTTGTTGTGTTCACGTTGCTTTGAATGGTTTCATAGTGTGTTATTATGGAGCCATTCTAAAGAGGCAAAGAAAAGCATCGGTTAGCGTCCGCTGACCTTGTGCGGCTGCAGAGAGGAAACAATGCTCAATTTAGATGCTAATCATATGCTCACTTTTTTTACGGAACCCAGAAAAGTACAATTTTAAACGTCTGGTGTGTGAGATGGAGCACAGAGATGAGTGAAGGACCAGAGACACACTTAGAACTTGAACATGCATTTGGTGCATAGCTTGAATTCAAAATGACAGGACGACTTAAAGGAGACGTATCTCAGCTTCAGCTTCTGCTAAAACATGTTTCCATGCATGTAGAGGCTCCTGAAGCTGCCCTCCTTCACAAAGGGATGTTCCTCCTCCATCAGAGGGTACTCCCACTCCCACACACATTTGCAATATCTATCTATCAGATACGTATGTGTGGTAAATGCTAAATGTACTGTACTCGTGCATCCACTTAAAGCTCTTCAACACTACATTTCATCATTTGCCCATTCATTCACTGATGGTAGGAGCGCCCATACACAGCGCCACCTGTCTATTAGTAACCAACATTCACACCACACACACACACACACACACACACACACACACACACACACACACACATAGCGTAGTCACAGCAATGTTGGGATGAAGTGCCCACACATTCACAAAATCAGCCTCCTGTCAGCTGAAGAATGTATCGAGGGTTAGAGGACTTATGTCTCAACAGGATTGGGAAATACTTGTCCATGAATTCATCTTAACAGTTTGTGCACAGGACGTCAGAGAAACGCTCAGTTCTACTACTCTAGACATCTGGAACCAGCTCCCAGTAAGATGCAGGTCTGATGAGACTGATGAGGCTTCAAATTAAGAGAGAAGACCTTTCTCTTTTCTCTGTATTTTAATGTCCTTTTCTTTTGCCTTATGCGTTAATGGTTTTATGTGCAGCACTCTGAATTGCCTTAATGTTTAAATGTGCTATGCAAATAAACCTGCCCTGACACAATGACTAGCAAACTAAAAGGACAGCACTTGTATTAACAGGATGCAGTGATGTTGCAAACAGGAAGGTCTTTCTTCATTTCACAGCTCGTTTTTTGTGGCTGTGCCGGAGCGACATTTTAAACTTCCCGTTTGAGTAATAATAATCTGCAGTAGTTTAGCAGCTTCACCCCTGATATGATCTCAGTAGTGGATCCCCATTGGATGGTTTATTGACCGATTTGGCTATATTTGGTTGGCTAATAAAATAATATATTTTTTGGGGGGGGGCTGGGGGCGGATGTTTTCATTGGCAAAAACATCTTCATGTCAGTAGGATTAAGACAGACATTCAGTAGAAACTGCTGCACAAGCAATGACAGAATATATGACCAACAAGAGCAAATGTCTTATTACCAACTACACACTTTCCTATTCAACCTACCATTTGGTCACACAGATTCTTACTGTTTAACTCTTTACTGTCCCCATATGTTTGAGTGGTTTCGGGATGATGGCGGCGGACCCAAAGCGTGGATGTGTCAGCTTCCGGCTCTGTGAGGACCTTTAGCTCTGATGAAGATTTTACTTTATTGTTTCTTGCTCCTCTGAGTTTGTATCCCTATGGTTGAATGCACTTCTTGTAAGTCGCTTTGGATAAAAGCAGCTAAATTACATGTAATGTAATGTGATAAAAGATTCTTCTGTGTTCCACAGTGGCCAGATGAAACTGGATTACCCAATCAGAGAAGACAAATACTCAGACTGATGAGACAAGTGCTCCAACCAACATGAAGATTTGTGTGTTTGTGTGTGTATCATAGTTATGTTAAAGGTGGATTAGTGTGAGTGTGAGCGGGTGTGATATCATGTCTGAGGACATCATGAACTGCACCATCGGGCATGAGATCCACCAGTACCTCTTTTCCTGTGTGTACATTCTTGTACTATTGGTAAGTTTGTGTACTTCTTCATTACCTGCATGAAACTGTTTAGGTGTCAGTTTTTTTCATAAAGTGCATGAGTAGTTAGGAACTTCTTTTTTTAAATTAAGGTCAAGGTCAATGTAAGACAGGAAGCTGCCACGTCTCACGCTCCGGTAACCCAGGTCCTCCTTGAAATCACAACATTCTAGCATTGACGCACAAGCTCAGTTAAAGTGTGCAAATTGCAGCCGTTTAATGTTTTATTGTGTTATCACTGTAATGGAGACGTGTCCGAGGTGCACCCTTCTGCGTCCTGTAGACTACTGTGGGATTTGGGCCTCAAAGCGTTGTTTTGCTATTTGTTATTGAGCAGCTGGTTGCATCTTCAAATGATTAATATCAGCACTAATGTTTTTATCATGATGGTATATCGGTTGACTCACTTTGGAGATACAATAAACAAATAATATAATTCAATAATAAACATGAGCTTTGCGTTATATTTTACATTAAAGGTTTTCTTTGTGTAACTGAATCACGGAGCACAGTACTTTGCCCACACATGGGTTTCTCTCTGTATGCTGGCTGTACACGGCAAACCTCAGAAAAGAACACGCAAGGAAAGACGGTGATGGATGTAGTGGGGTTGTGTTGGGTTGGCACTACTGAATTCTACTCTCATGCAGAAGACGGAAGTCACAGACTTGTAACGTATCGAAACCAAAATCACAATCTTGGTCATAACGATAACTTAGTGCCTTAAACTAAAGCACTTCCTAACTGTTACGTTTCCTAACCAGAGCCATTAAACATTCCTCATGTGCAAATGTTTTAGAAGGAGTGCATGTAGGCATGGACTTAAAAACGACTGTTGATTGCAGGTGGGCGTTCCTTCCAACCTGTACTCTCTGTACCACGCTGCCCTGCAGCTCAAGCAGAACAACGAGCTGGGAGTTTATTTGATGAACCTCACCGTGGCTGATCTGTTGTACCTAGCGTCCCTACCACTATGGCTACAGTATTTCTTTCAGGTAAGGTACCACCACTCGACTACCAAAATGGGACACGCTTTTAAGAATTAAAACGTGCATTCAGTAGCTTTCTCTGCGGTGTCCCCTACCTGTGTGTGTGTGTATGTGCTGGTTCAGGGTGACGACTGGAGCCACAGAGAGTGGTTGTGTCAGCTCTGCGGCTTCCTGCTCTACGAGAACATCTACATCAGCATTGGTTTCCTGTGCTGCATCAGCCTGGATCGCTACTTGGCTGTGGTGCACCCTTTAAGGTCAGTTTTGATTGTGAATTACCAAAAGCAGAACACAGCCACTGTTACCTTAATCTCCTTCACCTTTTCATATTATTAAGGGTTGTAATATAAGAGCCCATTTGACCCTCACTACCTGTGTCCTGTCTCCAGGTTCACCTCTCTGCGCTCTATGAGAGCAGCGTGGCTCGTTAGCCTCGTTGTATGGCTGAAGGAGATTGCCGTCGGGGTGGTTTTCTTCCATCATAAAGAACTGAGCAAAGACCACAAGAACCAATCAGTGTGCTTCGAGCACTATCCCATGCAGCCGTGGGAGTATCCTGTCAACTATTACCGCTTCACTGTTGGCTTCATGTTCCCGCTGGCTATTCTATCGGTATGATAGCTGTTTATACATTTTTTTCAAATAATTTATATTATGACCTTTTGTGACCGAAGACACCCACACAAGTTTCCACTTACAGCAGGTTTCCTAATTCGACCGTGTGTCAGGATGTGCAGATCACAGCTGGGTCAGTGGCCCTGCGCTTCCACCTGTGACTAGGTACCACGGCATCAGTTTGGAACGTGTCCATCCCTACCTGTTACACGCATGGTGTCTGTTCAAAATAAACATTTGGTTGTAAAACTGGTTTAGGAAAAAACTTTGGGTTTGGATTAAAATAAGTATCTTCTTTAAGTAATTGATTGACAAGTAATTACTAAAGCACGGCCACAAACTGTGGCATCCCGGCTGAAGGATTACACTTTGGTTTGATCCGTCCAACCTCCCCCAGACATCTGCCGCATGCTCTTTATACTATACTTATACTAGTCGCTCTAGTTATGAAGTGGAGGGGTTCACGTTGGAACGGTTGAAAGCTCATTCCATCTCATACAGACCCTGGAAGGGTGAACAGGTCAAGTGAAGGCCACTGCTGGGATGACGTACCCGGTTTTCAATCTCATGAGCTAATAAGAGGTTTGTGAGATCATTTAACAGCCAGCCTAGCAACAGTCCAAAAGGGCATCTGTGTGGGTGGGTTTTGATATCCAGTGAAACACCATAATTCAGTGATGATCTCACCCACTGACAGTTGTGCTGTAAGATAATGGAAGCTGACATAGCCCCGAAAGTGGATACCAGGACTGTGTCTCCAAACACAACTGGTGTGTTTGAGTGGACCATGATGCCACTGTGCTCCGTCCAAGTTCAACTCTTATCTAGTTCGGCTGCTGTTAACATATATTTTAGAAAGTATCAATATTTTTAGATTTTCTTTTTAAAAGTAAAAAACAGATTCTCGTTCTCACACCCGTTTTCAGTGGGTCGTGATGTAAGGAGACAAACAGGTTGGTAGAAATTTGACAACGGTTTTGGGACAAAGTGTTGGTCTGCTGCACATTTACAGGTACTTCTTCAGAAAAGTGGTACAACCAAAGCTGGAGGTCTCCATGTCTGTCATTTTTGACAGACAAACTGCCAGACTGTGATCAGATTTTTCAGAGAGGATGAAGAAAAGTGTTGTCAGTGAAAATATGTTGTGAAGTCATTTACGTTGTCATGATCTAAATGCTTCCGATGTGTGTTTGTTTCTGTCCAGATCAGCTACCTGTGTGTTCTCCGTGCCGTGGGTCGCAGCGCTGGGACTCTACCGGACCAGAAGATGAGGATCAAGCAGTTGGTCAGCAGCACCATCCTCATCTTCCTTGTGTGCTTCTCCCCCTACCATGTCTTCCTGTTAGTGCGCACCGTGCTGGAGAGAGACTGCAACTTCATCACAGGTACACGATGTTCTCGGTGACTAAAAGGCCTTTGAACATCGGGGGTGTTTTTCATATCAGAGATTAATTGAAGTATAGAAATATACGTAGAAATCTTGCTATATCCAAAGGGTTGATTTTTTCTGAGCTTTAGCTCCACAAACAAAGGCAACAACCAATCATGCTTTGCAATGTACAATTTGTGTTACACCAACACAGATATCTCCATAGTCTGTACCAAGAAGGCAAACTTCAGTACTCCTTTCATTGACAGGTAGCGCCAGGTCCACTGCTTCCATTGTCACCTTTCAATAAATCAGCTTTCGGCAGTAATGTACTGGGACCCAAATCCATTCACAAAGTTTTGCCTTTGCCATTTCACAGTGAAGGACTAAACAGTAACTTCTGACTTCTTGAAAAATAAAGACTCTATGACCACAGGCTGTTCAGTTTGTAATGGAGTCTTTGAGAACTTCCGCTCCTGCTCATAGCTTCAGTGTTACAACACAAGCAGTTTGCATCACTGCCTGTATGAATAGTTTGGATGAGGATATTCGCAGTTCAGTATATAACATTTTCATGTTGTTTATTCATCGGTGGATGAAAACTTTTTGTCTTTACCATGTGACCTGGTTGTGTTACAGGAATATTTAACTACTACCACGTGTCGTTGTTGCTGACCACCCTGAACTGCGTGGCCGACCCCGCTCTCTACTGTTTCGTAAGCGAAAGTGCGCGCCGTGGCCTCTACAGAGTCATAGCCAGACCTATTGCAAGAATACTTTGCTGCCGTTGTCGCCGTGGCAACGGCATCCCTGCTAACCCAGTCACCGATTCCCAGGAGGTCGCCACTGACGAAAACAACGGACATCCCACCGTGATGATGCTCACACACACCAGCGGTCTCAACAACCTCCAAACAGACGATCTCGGCAAAAACCCAATTTTCATCACACAGACTCAGGGAAAAACGATCATACCCCTTAATGAACAGATTAATGGAAACTCTGACACATGTGCCGACGGGAATGGAAAGCCCAGCTGTGCAATAGGCATGGAAGAGCAGTCGAGACACAAAGAGTGACTGAAGAGACTGATGGCCAGCCAGACCAATCCAGTGAGCCCTCAGAGACCACGCTGGAAGAGGCCTGCTGCCCACTCAGCTGTGTTTACATCATCACAATACTCCATCAGCATCATCACTATGATCACTACCTAATGCCAGTGACGGAATATATTTCACTGAGGTCTGATACTGCAGGGTTGGTCTATGATGACGTCTGTAAATGCCCAGATGACATTTCTCTGGTTTGTAGACATGGGAGCAAAATGTAGACGCAGCTTGGACAGAAGGTCCTAAAGCATCCAGAGGTCACAGTTTATTGGCCTTCGATCAGTTGGCCATTTTTAGGTTAAAACAATAGCACTATGCGAACCACTCTCTAACGAGGCCCCCTTCCTGAATGGGGATTGGTAAGTAACGGTTTACTTAGTGAATCCTGAACTAAAGTTGTATTGTATAAAATAAGTGAGTATTAACAACAGTGTTGTTGACCTGTAAAAAAAAGATGTTGACATTAAATCGTCCCTGTGAGATGAAGCAACAGCACACGTTTAGTATGAGGACAAACACGATAACTGAACATGAGGGTTCCTGACGCCACACCACAGCTGCATTAAGACCACATCCTGTACATGCCAACTCTTCATTAGTCATACAGGGGTTTGGCAATACTTACTCTGCAGCTATACAATTCCTGTCATAATAAATGTATGGATTACTTTGTTTTGCTGTCTTGTCTGATGATGATAAAAAAAAAATAGTTTGAAAGGAAACTCAAGGTAGGGATTGAAGTTAAGTTGTCCATTCATATATATAGTATTGTGCTCAGCATATTGTAACTTCTGCGGAAATTGTTATGTTCAAAAATGAAGAAACGCCGGACATCGCAGATCAAAAGGTTAAAATCAAATGTATTTAATAAAAGAGATGGTGTTGTGGTAAAAAGAACATCTCAGCTGAGGAGCCGCTGGTCTCAGCAGCCAACAGGCCCCAGGTGATGCCTTTTGACCATCCCTAGTGCCTGTCTGTTGTCTCCACCAGCGAACTCGAGAACAATGGTTCCTACAGGTATTTATAACAATGCTTAAAGGTGTGAAAGTTAGTGTCCACACCTCTGGGAGCGGTCTTCTGGTGAGTTCAATGTAACTCGGATTTCAAATGGCCCATAGTCAATATCAGTTGTTGTGCAAGTATTACATGCATGCATTCCAGTTGATTACATTACATCAAATACAATCATAACTACATTGGTATTATTCTATTACAGTTGCAGAATTACAGTGGTTTTACAATATTGTCATTACTTTATTGATTACACAGTTTCAGAATCATGGCTGTATTCTGGTGTACACAATATGCATTTTTATTAATTTTATGAACTGGGTCGTCAATTTATTTCTAATATCCTACAACTTCGGCATAGTAACATTTGAATTGGAAGTCATTAACTTTAAAGAAACAGTGTAATGGCAAATATGATTGAGATATAATTGAGAAATAAGGGATAATGGTGACGGCTGTAACGTGTAACATGCAACGTGTGGCAGCAGCATTAAGTCAGCTAACTGATCCCTAATGTCTGTCACACTGCCGTGCTAATGTTATGAGCTACCTAACATTAGCCACCAAATGCTAGTTGTCATATCTACCAATGCTGGTAGAAGCTTGATGTTAAAAGGGCTCATGAATTGAATTTATTTGTAACAGGATGTGTTATTTATTTTGTCAGTGGCTCTGTTTTGTTTTAAACGGTAATCTCTAAATGTCATAAATGTGCTCCCCTTTCTGCTTGTTTCAAAACCTTCACTCCAAATTTCTCCTCAACTTTAAGGTTTGTAATACCGTGCATTTGTTTGTTTTTTCAGAAGTACTGATATTTATTATCAAATGTATTTAGAAAAAGGCCGGCCATTTTAGGAGTTTACACTCAAGCGATTGGCTTTGGATGGCGTTGCATTTCCACGTAGGGGTCAGTGAATGCAGCATGCGACAGGCTATAAAGGGGTCTGTTTGTTGGTTCCCGTCAGCATGCATCCGTGTTTAGAGAAGAAACAACATATAGTGCGTGCTATTTGCACTTCTATGCATGCATATACACATAATTGTTGTCAAAATTTAAAAAATATTAAATTAACTGACTTTATGGTGCAATGTTGATTTATTACAGAATATCTAACATTATGGTGAAAGTCATTTGTTATGAAACTATTGACATGATGGTCAAAGAAGCTTGTCAATGACAATTGTTCAAATTACTTATTTCAGTGACGAATACAAAGAATATTTTCATACGTCTTTGAAACTGTAAAGAAAGAGCTTGGGCGCTCAGTGGGCGCTCAGACACATGCAGCAGCAGCGCTGTGTGTGTCTGTGTGTGTAACACCAGGGTCTCTGCGTCTGTGTGGTTCCAGTCTGACCTCAAACTTCCCCCTGTGATAATGGTGGTGTAGAAAGCAGAGCTCCTTACACATGCAGAATGTGATCCAGTTGAAGCTGCAAAAGCTGCAGCACCAAACAGCAGACAGACTTAGAACGTAGCTTGTGAACATGAGCAATTAGCAACTGGCAAACTAGCACAATATCTTTTCTCAGGGACGGTGGAGACCAAACAGGAGCTAAGAGGAGTGACATTCATTAAGTGAGCACTCTGCTCTGTGTCTACTGCTAATCTTTAACCAAATCGAAACAATGTTGATAACGCGTCAACATTGTAGACATCTAAAAGTATAATCTTCACAAGTACTTTATGCAACCCCCTTTAAAACATGAAAAACTGTAAGCATATTAGACTATGCACCAGGTACTTTTTCCCATTAAGGAAATGCAGAAGCATCTTAAAGACAAACAATACATTTAGACATGTTACAAATCTTACGCTTGCGGACGTGCTTTTCCTTTCTGTACAATACTTGAGTGCAGTTGCTGTAAATTGTAGCAATGCAATGGTGGGCTGGATTGGACTTATTAGTGCTTATTGGTTTTAGAAGATCAAAAATCAAAATGAGTTTGTGTGTCATTGTATTTGTTTTTGTAGCAGAATCCTTCCTCTGGAGGCACTTCTGATGTTGTTGTGTGTATGTGTGTCTCCTCAAAGTAGTGTTAATACTCCAGACCAAAAAGTAGAAAATGGACCAGTGTGTTTGCATATGTGTGTGTATGTGTTTGCATGTGTGCATGTGTTTGCGTGTGTGTGTGTCAGTGTGGGAGCGAGGCAGAATATGCAAATTGATTGTGTGTATTAATCTTGGCACTGTCGACAGCTGCTGGCTGCTGCTGCCGTCCGACAGGAAGTTGCATCAAAGTGGGGTCATAGGTCACAGTTGAGACGAAATGACAAGAACAGACAAAACAGAAGCAGAGAGAAGAAATGTGTTAAAATTGGCCCTCAAACATTTCCTAGATTTACTTCTTCAATACTCAGTTCAAGACATGTCAAAACCCTATTTATTTCAATAAGAACGCTGCACGCCTGTGAAAGTGGCAGTTGGGATACTTCAATGGACACACAGACCCGAAACTTCTCTAAACAATCACCTCGGGGGGGAAAACACAGTGATATGACCAGCGGTAAATATTTTTGTAACTGTACTTCTAGTAAGTGTGAGCCTTCTAACTACTGTGTTGTTGAGCAATTTCCAATAATACACAAGTCAAGTCTTCAGTATTCTAGTTTTTATATAAATGGGCGGGCTGATCAAGTGATGGCGGCGAGCAAAGAGGCTCGAACGCTACCCCTCTTTTGAACAGTTCTGGGGACATCAAGGGGGATTTTGTTGTCGAGCTCAGGTCGGTACCAATTTAAGATCAAGCCGTTGCTCTCAAAACGCCCCAACCGTCTTTCAGTTGCTGATTGAGTTGGCAATCAGACGGCTCAGAAGAAGGAGCAGTTTCATACCTACCCGTATTGACAAAATCATTTAGTCACAAAATACCTCAACAACTCTTGCAGGCATTCATGCAGTATTCTACAAACTCAAGCAAGCCAAGCTTACAGTGAGCAATAGTCACTGAAAGCTGGGAAACTGGCTCAGGGGAAAGAACGGTCAGCCTTCAATCAGAGGATCGGCCGTTTGATCCTCGGCGCTGCTAATCCCCATGCTGGTGTGTTCCCGGATGATGAATGATGGGTTAGGGTTAAATGTTACATGTTGAAGATGTGTTGAAGTGGTCAGAAGACTAGAAAAGAGGAAAAGTGCAGTTCATTTACCACTTAGTTCTTCCCCCATATCCCTCGGGTTAATTGAGCACATGTTGCCTGGTGCTGAGGGTCACCTTCTGCCTCCCAATCCGTAACTGTTCTTAAGAAAGGCCAGTGGTACCACGGGTTTGTTAACGATACATCTCAAGAAGCAGAATCCATCAACCTCCCAAAGAGGAAAAATGCAAAGTTCAGGTGGATCAGGTTAATAAGATTGATAGTCTTTATTCTGACGGCTTCCTGGCATTAATGTATACTCCAATTGTCAATCATTATTTAATATTATATTTAAGAAAGGAGCATAGCTAATTAGCATTCCTACGTCAGCAACTCCTGTTTGAAACAGTAATAGCACTTGGTGGACTGGGCACTACCATACATGGCACAATGACAGATTTATTTATTTATTCATTTAACAGTTCTATAGATCTAGTGATGTCTGTGACATCACAGTTATTATCACACCTTCTAGTTACTGCATCAACTATATTTATATACAAACAATCAAAAGAATGAGAATAGCAGTTAATTTGTTCAGACAGAGAAATAAGCCCTGATTTTACTTTGCTTCCTCATCATTAGTTAAGGAAGAGGGCTGAAAGGTAACCAAGGAAATCACACACAAACACGCACGCACGCACGCACGCACGCACGCACGCACGCGCGCACGCACACATCTTTCCATTCTGTCCTTTCTCTCTTGCTTCCTTCTGCTAATCTTAAAAGAGAGGAAGCAGAATGTCCCCTCCAGTCTGGACATTGCTGAGAATAAACAGGAAAAGTGGATCAAGGGTTTGGGGTGGTGCAGCCCAGTGTGACCTCCAGCAGTCTGGTGATGATGTCGGAGTGCGTGGGGTGAAAGGACAAACCATCCACCTCCATGGCCAGGTGACCAGTTTTCCCGCTTCGTATCCCAAAACGCACCAGAGTGGAAAGGATGGACTCCTCCTGGAGGAGGAAGAGAGTGTGATTGTGTGTGTAAATGGAAGGCCAAGATGAGCAAGTTGTGTTCATCCAAAACACAACATTCAAAACACATGCATCCTGTATTCCCACTCCTTTCAGCCCTGTTCAGGTCTCCACCAACTCCTGAGGAAAATGGTTGGTGTTGGGCAGGTAGTGGGGGAGGGGAGCGAGGGTCTTTACTCACAACGGCTGGTGCCAGTGTGCAGGTTACAAACAAGCAACTATAACCACAGTATATATATATATATCTAAAACACCTGGTTTTAGTCTGGGTTTATAGATAATAATTGTGATGTGTTTTTGTTGTGTCGAACGTATGCACTGTCCCTCTAACCCCTCCGCTTTAAAAGAGTATTATGTAAACCAAGAAAGTACATATGAACCTTTTAAAGATCTTAAAATACCAATTATATATAGCATATATATTATAAATCTCAGAAAGAAATCTTCTTCAAGAGATCATCTAGAAAGCTGTGTGTGTAGGTGTGTGTGTGCCACCTTGTCCACAGATGGCAGGTTAGCGGTCCAGTCCTGCAGCTGTTCTTGGGGGGTTGCGTGCTCCACACCCAGTCCTCGGAGTCTGTATCTCTGGTGGGAGGGGCAGGTCTGGAGCAGGTAGAGCCCACAGGCCACAGCATATCCTCCCCAGTTGGACACCCCTTCATGAGAGGGGTTAGGGGGGGCAGGTAAACCATAGACACAGGCTTATCCTTACAAGGGGAAATCCAAAGCTTTCTCACTGTGTAATTGTAGTAGTAAAAAACAAAGCCACTAGCAAGTGTGCGTGTTTTGCTCAGATTAAGGTCAGGTGGTAAAGTCTTTTGTGTGTCTCATGATCTTAAACATGGCCTCACTGTAACAGCAGTGATGACTGAAGCTGTGAAGCTGAAGATGTTGTGAGATGGTAGAAGAGTCGGGTCAGTTCAGAACTTAAATGAGTGACAACCCATCTATACTCGTTGTGCTCTGTGTCTATTGTTGACTGTGTGAGTCTGTATGATTTGTTTCCCCACTGATATAGTTCTGCCACCGTGGAGCTTTCTGATCCATTTGGTACTTTTTGTGGGACAACAAGGAGAAGCCAGGCATTCTGTATGTGTGTCTGACACAGCATGTGCATTCTGTCCTATGGCATGTGGTATGGAGTACATCATATTGCAGTGCTGACTGTGCAGCGTTTAGGAGGATGGCGTACCGGCAGTGACGGCGTAGTCTGCAGGAACATCACAGGCTATCAGCCCCCCGTTGGGCATCATGGTCCTCACCTTGTCCCTCAGTCCGCCCATCCCCAACTCATTACCACCATCCCCGATGCCTTAGGTCAGAGAGAGGAGCGCCACAAAACACAAACTTTCTAGACAGCGGCAACAGCGAAGGGCGTGTCAGAACATGTTTAGTGTTTTAAATCTTTAAATTATAATAAAAAGGTATTATGAGGAAAGGGGCATGGAGACAATGGAAGTGTTACCTGTAGTGATTATTCCGGCTATGTCCTTGGCAGCAATAAACAAGTTATCAATGGGATCCACCAGATGTTTGATGTTGACTCCTCTCATGTTGTAGTAATTTCCATCTTTAGCACGTCCAGTGCGCTCTATCGCCACCAGGTGGTCGTACCTGGTATCACACGAACAAGCACAGTACACCAGATGTGTTGGGAACACTAAATAATGTTTTACATTATGTGTCATTTAGCTGACGCTTTTATCCAAAGCGACTTACAATAAGGATACAAACTCAGAAGGACAAGAAACAAGAAAGTGCAATATCACTAACTAAGCCGATTTACAACTCGCTATAGATAACAGCCTCTTAATCTCAAGATCAGTCTACATCTTAGGTCGACTACCAGCACTTAGTTTTTGCACACAACGCGCCCCCCGTTTTAGCATGTTTATCTTTAAACTTTATATATAAGTATGTACTGTGAGGCTAAAGACCTTTGAGAATCCTTGTATGTTGTCAATGTGTCTCCTGTTTGCAACCATTATTTAATAAATGTCCTGTTTAAATATTTTACACTGGTGTTGAGAGAGGCCAGGATGCGCTGGAGGAGAGTGACAAGATGCTTTTTCTAGCAAAACCGGGCCGTGTTTTCTTCATTATGAGAGAAAGCTTTCAACAGTCTCTAGTACCTACTTACTTAGTCGGGCTCATCAACAGAGCCGGTCCCCCACTGACTGACTATAACATTCCACCGGTCACTCCCCTTCATACTGCACATGTCACTTTAACTGTAATTTATCACTTTGTCGTCACTTTGTTACTTGTTCGCTAGTGCACTTTATGCTTAATATTTTTAAAACTTTAATATTTTAAATTCTTAACTTTAACTTTATTCCCTTGTTTTATACTAACCCATAGCCTTATTCTACTAACCCATTGCATTAGCATTTCATTTGACTTTATTTTATTACTTGTGCACTGCTGGTGGAACTTCATTTTTTTTCATGTAAATTGCTGGAAGGGAATTTCTTTTTTTCATGCTTTAGAACTGAGAACTGGAGACTGAAGTTGTGATGTTGACCTAAATTCATACAGAGATGATGAAAACATCTCATACGTAGGTATAGTCATAATCCGTAGTCCCCGGAGACTGAGAAATATACAATAGGTTGTTATATTCATAATCCGTGGTCCCTTGGGACTGAAAAATATATAATAATAGGTTGTTATATTCATAATCCGAAGTCCACGGAGAATAAGAAATAGATATTCTCCATAGTTTGTTGAGGACGGAAAATTATTGTAAAAAGTGTTGTGTACATATATATATATATATATATATATATATATATATATATATATATATATATATATTATATATATGGCTCTATACCCATATGATGGGAGAAAAATATGTGTGAATGGAGCTTATAAACGAGCCCTTAACAAGGGGGGAGACAAGCACAAGTGAATAATGAGACATGTGACATCATGTGATTCATCCTCCTCATATGTTTTCCAGCGTATATTTTTGTGAGTATACAGATGAAGTGATATACGGGAGAGGACCCTCCTACGCGTGTTTTTAACCCAACCCTAATCCTCTCTCTCCAGCCTTCATCCGCCTGTCTCGTCCTCTTACACCCCAGTCCCCATCAAACCACAGCCCTGGTCCCACACAGGCCGAGGCCAGACCTCGGGTCTGCAATGACCAAAGCTATGAGCCAGCTCCCACCAGCACAGGCAGAGTGAGTGGTAAGCAACAAATACCAGTACAGGGAAAAGATTGAATTTCCAATGACAAATGAAGGCCGTCCTTTTTCTTTTCCTTCTTTAAAAAAGCACAACAAACCCTTTCATTATGTTCTGATCCTCAAGGACAGGTCGGCTCACCTGGGCTTGTTGGGGTCTCCATGGTGACACAGGAAGTGTAGGGCAGAGTCTGGGCCGCTTTCTTCAAACGTGACGATTGGAATTGCAGTTTTCAGCACACCTAAGGGTGGCATTACAGACTATCGAACCAAGACAGAAACATTTCATTTCAGCAGCAATGATGAAGGACCAGGACACGACTGGAGGTCCATCTCTTCCCCACCTGTCCTCACTGCTTCATCAACGATGGCCCGGTTCATCTCCAAGGCTCTCCTGTCCGTCACCATTGTCACCTGTTTCCCTAGAGACAACAGCATGGTCGCCATGGCGATGGCTCCAGGCGGGCCGTCGGTCTCGTCAGGGGGACTAAATGTGAAACACATTTAGGAGTCATGTTTTGAGGTTCCTGTTTCAGACGCCCTAACACTTAAAGGATGAATCCAAATATTTCACTATAATGTGTTGAAAGAACCCATAAAAAAGGAGTGTGACAACCACTGCTTGACTTTGTATGTAAACGTACCTGCGTCACAAGGGTATGTGTCTGGTGCGGGTACCTACCTTTGCATGTGGTGTGTTGGAAAGCCAGTTGTTATAGCAACGGAGTTGGAGTGCGAGAGTGCCAGACAGGAGCGCAAAAGTTCGTCCTGAACAAATAAAGCTCTGATCCCTCGCTGGCCTGGTTGAGAGAAAAGATACAGACTCACATCCACATCCATCGAAGCTGCTGCTGACAAACGCTGAACCCCCCAACATCCCGCTGCCAGCGGAGGTATGGACCCCCCCTCTAAGCTGAATAACACCTTCCAACATCATCACTTCACACGTTGGGTTAAAATGTTCTGGCTACTTCGTTTAGTAGTTTGGTTTATAATCTAAAAGGCTGGTGTGACGTCAGGCGGGACTGACTCGAATAAGCTTTTGTGATCATTACATTAAATTACAGGTCATTTAGCAGACGCTTTTATCCAAAGCGACTTACATTACATTTTAACCCGTGGCTTTTTACAATTTTGCCCGGGGAGCAATTAGGGGTTAGGTGTCTTGCTCAGGAACACTTCAACTTGGGACATGGGGGCAGCTGGGACTCGAACCACCAGCCTTGCAGTCCCCTGCGCCACGACGACCCCACAAGGTCAAGATCACGAGGTAAATGGTACAAGTGATGCGCTGTAGCGACAATGTTAACATGCTGATGCTCTCATCATCCTGCAGTTCTCCTACAGAGCCAACAGGTCTGTAGACGATGCTGTCAAAATGGCCCTCCACTACATTCTCCAGCACCAGGAACCTACGCCAGGATCCGGTTTGTGGACTTCAGCTCTGCTTTCAACACCATCATCCTGTCTCTGCTGCAGGACAAACTCTCTCAGCTGCACGTGCCCGACTCCACCTGCAAGTGGATCATAGACTTTCTGTCCGATAGGAAGCAGCACGTGAAGCTGCTCTCCCTATACACAAACAGCTGCACCTCCAGTCACCAGTCCGTGAAGCTCCTGAAGTTTGCATCAGCTCCATCACCAAGAATGATCAGCAGAGGTTGTTCTTTTTGAGGCAGCAGAAGAAATTCCACTTGCCAAAGACGATGACGGTGCACTTCTACACTGCCATCATGGAGTCCATCCTCTGCTCCTCCATCACCGTCTGGTACGCTGCAGCAACAGCCAAGGACAAGGGCAGGCTGCAGCATGCACTATGTTGTCTTATCGGTTTGGTTGTCCACTGTCTAACTATCTGCTGTTTTGCACCAACCGCCAAGTCAAATTCCTTGTATGTCTAACATATGTTGGTGATTCCTGATTCCTGATCCTGTTTAATATTATTTTAGCAAAGAATAGTTATTTGGTCTAATAAACAAATTCTGAATTTGACCTGATGAGGACCCATCTTGACAGCCTGTAATAACACAATTCCAATCAGGAAAATATCCCCAATGACCTCACTCCTTGCACGTGTGTACCTGGGTCCTCTCCAATAATCGTCTCCAGCTGTCTGATCTTTGCCACGGCCCTCTGAGATGCCAAACTGAACAGCAAGGGATTGTGGGATATCTGGAAGCAGCAGGGAAACAGTTCGGCGTTGGGATTTGTGGAGGGCTCGCCATCCACGGAGCTTTCGCTGGGTTGGTGTGGAGGAGAAGGGGGCGAGTCTGGGATGTCAGTCAGGAACATACAGCCTGGGGAGTGACTGAATGCCAGATGAGGCTCTGCAGAGAGGCGGAACACCAGGTCATGAGACATGAAACAACTATGAGCAAGTTCAATCCAGCATAACGCTTACTGCTGCAGAGTATTGCTTCTATAGCGGTCACTCCACAGGCCCAGAACACAGGGACATCTCCGGGCAGTAGTTGGACCGGCTCTCCGTAGTCCGGTGTGGACAGGTCGTGTATGCCAAGGAGAGCTGCACACGCACAGAGCAAAGTTATGTGAATCATAATAATACAGTCTATCGGTCGGTGTCGATAGACGGTGATGGTTGCTGGTGTGAGCGTGTCAGCGCAGGAGGTCAGACAGATGATGATGAGAAGTCTGTGGAGCCAGGGGAGGTTCTGAAGGACTGGGGTCATGTGATCTCCGGTGGAGTGGGCTGAGTTCTGGATGCATCGTGGTGGTGCGACGAACGGGATGCTGTTGCAATAGCCCAGTTTGAGCAGTAATGAAGTTGTAAACGGAATTAAAATGTGTGTGTACCTTGGTCTCCGATGTGGACAGGAGCTCCATGACAAAGCGGTTTGAGGTGAGTGGACCTCTACTGCTGCGTTCAAACATGGTTTGCAGGAACAGGACGCATTAGACCTCTAGGAGTGCAGGGGAACACACTCGCAGGAACACAGAGAACAGCAGTCTATAGACACACACACACACACACACACACACACACACACACACACACACACACACACACACACACACACACACACACACACACACACGGCATCAAGCTCCTAAAAAGCTAGTATTTTATTGCATCTTCTGTTTTGTAACATCAAACAATGTATATCCTCGGCTTTACAAAATGTTGATAAACTATTTTCACATTTCCAGTATGTTTGGAACAAATCCCAAATGCACTAATCAATAATAAAAGCTATAATATATCTTGAGTTGCAGCTCTGGTGTAGACCTCAGTTCTATACGGAAATGAATGTTAGAAAATGCCATTGAAACCCACAAATATTCAGTCAACCAAATATACAAATTTAATTGTCAATGTCAATAACTTGATGATGTTAAGTTAAGCGGGTCGTCCCTAACAGGCAACTAACTGAACCTGCATCACTGCCCTGTATCCACAGCATTGGACGGGTCATTTCTACTTGGGGTCACACGGCAGATATTTGACCGTACCCTGTACATGCTGACGTATGTGCCTTGCTCCACGTTTCTGACCGGGACTCCAGCTTTCCTCAGCCGGCCCTCAAAGCCAAAAACTGCAGCCCAGATAGAAACAAACCATGTCTGACCACGGGCCATGAGGGGCAGTGCCGGGAGCACTGTGAAAAGAGGAGGAGGGAGGCTGGTCGGATCACAGAGTCGATTTGAGACAACATCGGTTTCATTTGGGAGAGGGGCATGTACCTGTATGAAACCCAATAGAAAGAAAGTGCTACAAAATAGCAATTAGGCTTCAAATATTTAAATAGGAATCCCTTTTCTTTAAAACCTTTATTTTCATGCTTTAGCCCACAGGTCATGGCTTTGGGGTTCCCTCCTTTAGTGCAGAGATTGGTCGGTCCTTTGTGAAATACCTCGGCTGAGCGCAGTAACTCTGCAGACTTGAGACCGTTTTCACCAGACAACCCTCTTCATACACATGGTACTGAGAAATGTCCGTCCTGAAGACACAGACAGACACAAAACGTTTGTCAAGTCCCTTACACACTCACACATACAGAATTAGGTCTCAATCGGGCAGATTGCGTATGTGTTGATATCAGATTGTGCATTGACTCCGATACCCCATCCAGAACTTCAGGCTGGTACTGGTAATGGTATCAGGGCTTTTGGATAGCTGCCTACTGTGTTGTGTACTGTGCTCTACCTGATATCAGCATTTCTCGCAAGAGGTGTGCAGGAAGTCTCCCCTGACCGGCTGTGATAAAGAAGTGGCAAGGGGGCGGGGTTTCTGCGACAGAACTCTTCAAAGTCCTTGGCCAGATGATTGGGCAGGATGACGACATTGGCTTGCTGGTAGCCTGACACAGGCACAGACAGTTTATTCATGTTACAACAGAAACGGATCAGACAATCAGATCCAGCTCCAACTCAAGTAGAGTGGGACGTACTCGATACTCGAAAAGATAAGGGGTGGCAACTAATTCTAGTAGAGTTAGTTATTAATTAAGTACCAAAGGTGATCAACTTGGAAAGTGTAGATATGTGGAGAAAGGTAGCGCTCCTGAATCACAAATGATTTTTACTTTAAAATCTGTTTGGACATAAAGTGAAATAAAGTGGAGGATCATCTCACATTGATTTGGAGCAGAGGGGTGGGTTAGTCCGGCTTCCTGAACAGCAGACAGGCTGCAGGACGAATATCACTACAATAACATCTAGCTAAAGCTCAAAACCCGACTGGACATTGGACTCCTCGTCAGTTACAATATAACTGAAAAGTTGCATCAGCTTTCAGATTGTTTCTTGCTTACACAAAGCGACTTCAGCGACTTCACAGTCAAAGAAATTCACAATAAAATCCAGACAGTTTTCTGTCCTGGCATCTAAATGGTGGAATGAGCTCCTCAATGATATCTTTTTGACGTCTATTCACTTTCAGGCGCCAACTAAATTCATCTTTTTGACGTCTATTCACTTTCAGGCGCCAACTAAAACACACCTTGACGATTATACCTGGACTAGATGGCACTTTAGAAGTGCTTAAAATAGCACCTACCTACAGCACTTTGTGATTTAGCTAGAAAGAAAGTAAGAAATGGTACTTTCTTGATGTTGTTGTTCTGGTTCTGTACCTCATAGTTGAATGCACTTTTTATAAGTAATTGGAAAAAGTAAAAAAAAATGTTATAATATTTAATTTGATCTGTATGTTATCAATTAGTTGTTATTAATCAAAATAACACTTTTGAATGCCATTGTTGTATAGAAATGTGTCTCAATTAAAGCATTTTTCTCTATTTGACCCTACAAGCTACTATAATACTGAATCAAATCATCAGGTTGCATCTGTAAGCCACAAATAATTTCAAATGAATGGTTCCACATGCAGAGATGACACACTGGTTCTTACCATTAGCTAATCCTGTCGTGGTACTTATTCTGGGATCTTCCTGCCTGATCAACTGCCTCAACTCAGCAGGACTCCGAAAATGTAAACCATTTGACTGCTCCATTACAGAACGCGCGCTTCTGTTGGATACGACAATGAACGTAATTGAGATAAATGGCTTGATCCTCTGTTGTTGGCAGTGCGGGAGGTTCCCCAGACCTCCACGGGATTTTCTCCCTTCAAGCTGCTGTTTGGCAGGAAACCACAGGAGGTGCTCGACCTGTTTAAATCACACTGGGAGGAGGGCCCGAGTCCCGGGAAGAACGGAATCCAGTATGTCCTGGACCCGCGAGGCAAACTCCACACACTGGGTGAGTTGTCACGTGAGAATTTGCCTCAGGAGCGTCAACAACAGCTGTACACGGAGGAGCAAAGCTGAGCTGAGCTTGAGCTGATTTGCACCGGGAGAAAAACTACTGGTCACACGGCGGGTAGGGGACGTCGACTACAAGGTGGTGCGATCTGACAGGGGTGGAGCTACACAGATCTACCACCCCAACCTTCTTAAATTATGGAGGGAGGCGGAGTCTGTTTCCCTGGTGTCCGCAGTAGCTGAGAGAGAGGAGCAAGGTCCAGAGGTCCCAAAGTCCACCAATCCGACCCGGCTCCATTTCAACGCCCATCTCTCTGCAACCCAGCAAACAGACATAGCTGGGTTGCAGGATCAGTTTAATGCTGTGTTCTCCCTCCTGCCAGGTCGCATGGTAAATGGTAAATGGCCTGTACTTGTATAGCGCTTTTCTAGTCTTCTGACCACTCAAAGCGCTTTAACACTACATGACATCATTCACCCATTCACACCCATTCATACACTGATGACAGGAGAACCATACACAGTGACACCTGCCATCAGTAACTACCATTCACACACTGTAGTCGCAGCTACAGGAGCAATGGTGGGTTAAGTGTCTTGCCGAAGGACACAACGACATGCGGGTTAGCCGGGCCTGGGATCGAAACCACAACCCTCTGATTGGAGGACGACCGTGCTCCCCACTCACCCACAGTCGCCCGCATGGATCTCATCATGCATCACATTGAGACGTCCCTGGGCGTGACGGTGCGGTCACGGCCCTACAGGTTACTTAAATACAAGAGGAAAATAGTTCAGAGAGAATTGGCTGGAGATTTGCTGGAGATGGGGGTAATAGAGGAATCCAACAGTGCCTGGTGCAGCCCCATTGTTCTGGTTGCCAAGAAGGACGGCTCTAATAGGTTCTGTGTGGACTATCGCAGGATGAATGCTGTGTCACGCTTTGATGCGTACCCGATGCCCCGGGTCGACGAACTCCTGGACTGATTGGGCACCGCACGTTCTTTTACGACACTGGATTTGACAACGGGCTACTTGCAAATTCCCCTGTCACCAGAGTCCGGGGAAAAGACGGCTTTCTCCACTCACACGTTTGGGTTATCAGGAATCAGGAAACATTTATTGCCAAAATATATACACACAGTGCACAAGTATGCTAATGCTATGGGTTGGTAGAATAAGGCTATGGGTTAGTATAAAATAAGAGAATAAAGTTAAAGTTTTTGCTCACCTATCTCTGATAACAGAAAAGGAACAAATGGTATGTGAGTTTTACCTGAGTCAATGGCATAGTTAGAGACACTCCTGAAGAATCCCAGGGAACGTCTGGTGGCTCGAATAGCAGTCAGCATGCTGAACCTAAACCTCAGCACACAAACAGACAGCACACTAAACCATTTCTCTTCAATAAAGTTCTTGAAGTAAAATAATTCTGAATTTCTCCTCTGCACCCCACCTGTAATACCACTGCGACCCACTACAGGGTCAGGCCCCCGTGTTTGAGAAGTACTCACTAAAGGCTGGCGCATGCTTCTGCATCTGCGCCTGCGTCGTTGCGTCGACGCACTCGTTTCAATTCATGGTTCTATTAAGTCTTGCGTATGTTGCAGAGAAATTCACCGCCAGAACAACAGGTGGAGTAACGTGTTTTGACGACAATCTAGGGAGTCACGTCTTTGTTTGTGGAAGTCGTTGGTTTGTTTATTTTATTTATCATAGACTTTATTGCCCCGTGCATCGCCACTGCTGCGTTTCATTGTGGACACATTTCTGCCGTATTTTCCTCCACAACTTTGTTCACCTCTCAACCCGCAAACCGGCGTTTGCGGCGACCTCCCTCTATGAATGCAACCCGCTTCTACAACCCGCCAATGACGTTGTATAAGCGGTCATATTTACGCATTTCTTCAGACAAAAGTTCTTAAATCGGATCCGTTCTCTCGTAAACATTCTTCGTTTTAATAATGGCGGTATTTTGCTATGAAAACGGAAATGTAAGACTCCATAAAGGATGTAGTTAGCGGACCAATCGAAGCCTAGAAAAATGGGTCGACGCACGCAAGCACCCAAGGACGCAAGGAGGTGTAAAAGGACACGCAAGGGGGCCTTGCGTCTGCGTCGCTCTGAAAACGCAGAAGCATAAGCTAGGCTTTACCCTCAATTTCCACCAACTCCGGAACGGCTGCGTAACGGCTCCGGCACGGCGGCGGAGTCAAAAGGTTGCCATTAAAGTCAATGTGTGTATTTCCACTGACTGCGGGACGGCTGCGTTCCGACTCCGGCGATCCGCAGCCCTCCGGAGCAAATACTCAGAGCTTCTGTTTTTGCCGGATGCCCGGGGGCTGCGCAGCACCACAGGGCAGAGTACGCAGGACGGGAAGTGAAGCAAAAAAACAGAACAGCCAGAAACAAAATAAAAGATCCGTTTAATTTTCAAAATGAAATACACCGTGCTCATGGCGGAACATCATAATGTCATAATGGGCGGAAACAGGCCTGTTGAAACTACATATCGCGCGATCATACCAGAATTCGCGAGATTACATGGGGCCTTGTGACGTTAGCTGTCACGCATTTGGTGGAAATCGGGGGTTAGGGTGCGCTCACAACAAACGTTACTGGCCAATTCTTATGAATCCCATTCTTCGCGCTAGACGCGGTGGGGAGGGGGCGTGGCTTATCACCCTGAAAGCAGTTCTATCCGCCGTTATTTTTCCTCTGCATCAACCATGGAAGACAGGTGAACGCACCATTAGACGCAAAAGTATGAGTCCAATCAAATAAATAGAGATATCGTTGGAAACCCAAGACGCTACAGAACGCAGAAATATACTTTATATGTATGTGTGGTTGGAAATAGCAGCTTTAAAAACTCCAATCCTTTGAGACATGTGTCTTCAGAACAACATGGAGTCCAATGGGCTGGTGGACCCAGTCACCATAGTATCTCTACACCTAAATGGGGTCGTCGTGGCGCAGGGGGTAGAGCGGGTGCACTGGCAACCGCAAGGTTGGTGGTTTGAGTCCTGGCTGCCCCTATGTCTCAAGTTAAAGTGTCCCTGAGCAAGACACCTAACCCCTAATTGCTCCCTGGGCAAAATGTAAAATGCCATGGGTTTAAAGTGTAAGTCGCTTTGGATAAAAGCGTCAGCTAAATGTAATGTAATTGGACTAAAGTTGCTAGTAGGCGGAATACAGCTGTTTTGCAATTGGCCAATAATTACAGAAAACACAAAGTAGCGGAGAGATCGAGAAGTGGCAGGTTTTTTTTCAGAACAGCATGGACCCACCTCCTCATCCATATAATTAAAGTTATTTTTTATCTCGGCAATTGACGGTTGGCTTAATCCGAGGCTTCAGAAATGAAGATAAAGGGATTCTGTATAGCCTCAAAATGGTCATTTGGCGAATGTTTCAATAACATACTGCGGCCAGTCTAATGGTAATGTGTGTGTACGTACTCATTTAATTTCATTAACCTGTCTCTAGAAACAGTGACATTGATGACCCCTTCTCAGGTTTATTCGACCCATGGTTTGGTAAATACAAAGAATTGTTTATTTCTGTGATAACAGCAGTCTCCATTATAGCCAGCATCCTCATCTTGGGTTCATCAGGACTTTTATCACTACTAGACTAATACCCACCGTACCAACCCAGAAAGACCAGCCTGTAATGATGCCACTATTAGCTACTGAACATGGATGACTCATCCAACGAAATTGATAAACTTGTTGGACCAACTATCGCTCCCCTCCCTGATTATTTTAACAGCTATGTGTGATTGTTTACATCAAAATTGGTGGGAAGGGATGGATTGTAGAATAATAAACAAATGTATTACCCTGATCATTAATCTTACTATACATAAAATGCATTCAGTGTAATACCACTGTTCGAAACTATGTTATTAATTTTAATAAAGACATTCATGCAGTGCAATACTTGATGGCACTGCCATGTTCATTGTCGGAGACACCATCCAGTGTAATACCTCATTGCACAACCATATTCAGTGAATAATCTAAATAACTAGTTACACTGAACGCACCAGGAGAATTCACTTGCTGTTCGAGACAGTTAACTTGAGCACAACACCCCGGTGGCGTGGTGGTCAGCACTGTCGCCTCACAGCAAGAAGGTCCTGGGTTTGATTCCACCCAGTGGCCTTTCTGTGTGGAGTCTGCATGTTCTCTGCATGGGCTCTCTCCGGGTACTCTGGCTTCCTCCTGGGGATCAGGTTTATTGGGGACTCTAAATTGCCTGTAGATGTGTGAATGTGAGTGTGAATGGTTGAGTGTCTCTGTTTAGCCCTGCGATTGGCAGGCGACCAGTCCAGGGTGTACCTTGTTTATCACCTGAAGTTGGCTGGGATGGACTCTGTGTGCAGGATAAGCGGTTTGACGATGGATGGACAACACGCTTACAGTTAAGACTGAACTCGCGAACTTTAAGCTTATTTATAAGTCGATATAAATGTAACGTATTTACTCATGTCGATGAGCGGGGATATCATTTCATATCTGATGTGGCATTTTAATAGCGCCATTGGGGGAAAAAGGTGAATAGTCGTTTTTGCCATTTTAGTCCTTTCCTACCTTTCGGAATCTGCAGCGAGAGCGCTGCCATCCCATGAACAAGGCAGCTGGAAGCTGCCTTGTTCATGGGATGGCAGTCCGTTGGACGCCAATTGGGATGGCAACGCAATTGGCGTCCCAACGGACGCCAATTGACGTCCGTTGGACGTCAATTGGCTTTATTCATACAAAGAAAGCTACGAAGAAAAAATTTGTTTGCAAACATTTTATTGTCGTTAGAAAGTAAAGAGTAAAAAAACTAACAGTGTGCACAAACACCAACCAGATATTATAACTGTAACATGAATAAAAGGTTGAAAACAAGAGAATGTTGTAATTGTAAAGATGCAAATTAAATCACACAATGACTCTCGAAGGAAAGGCTGCTGAAGGATACAGACTACACATCGAGGCCTTGAATAGATGAATCATGAAACCAGATGCTACAGCAAAATTAAATGTCATCACGTACTTGGTCTACTAGCGAAACACTAAACATTACAATACTGGTCGCACTGCAGCAGTGGAGCTGATATTCTACTTCCAGAAAAATACACATCATTAAATGGCATTTGAAATAAAATATATATATATTAGAAAACTCCCCAGTGAAGACCCCCAGATGCAGTTAAAGGGTGTGGTGACTCGCCCAGGCAGACTGGGAGTTGGGATTGTCCTCGGACAATTCTGATTGGTGCTGGACTGTGACTTGTGTGTTTATGCAAAACTATATAAAAGCAACCGCTTGAATAAAGTCAAAGGTCACTTCATTTGTGTGTACGCAGTATTAGTATCTCACATATTCATCCGTAGAATCAGTAACAAGCACATGAAAAAAAAACAATATATCAGATATATACTGTCCTGTTTCCTTCACAAGGAAGGCTTCACATTAACTGTCGTAATGCCAACCAGCAGTCACTAGATCAAGTGAACGAGTGCTATCCCTTTCTATGGAAACTGATACACGAAGACCATCAGAGGGAGTAAGTCCTTTTATCGTTTGACTCTCATTCATTATCTGTTGACATTATCCATAAACTAAATGCACCGGCCAGGGGGGGGGCCCTCAAACACCTGGCCAGGTACAGTACCAGAACAATAAGGCACCCATCATCTTCACTGGTCCTTTATGCTGAGCTCTGGGTCCACCAGTCTGTTATGAACATGCATTAAACCTGCAATGGAAAACAAAAAGGATGATGAAAGCATGTTGGATGGACACAAAGAAAAGAAGATTGAATTCTGGGGACTGACATGTGGGTCAGCAGCACTTTAATGATGTGCTCATTGAGTCCCTCTGGTTTACAAAGAACAAATAACCACAAATATGGTTCTTGCAGATGTACAAAACTTGTAGTTTTAATGATGTATTTTCACCTGTTTAGAGCTAAAGTTCGCTGCATTAAAAGCAGACTGCTAGTGACACCCTACTGTCGGCAGTATGTTGCTCTCACGCGCACGGTTTGGCTTTATTATATCCTACATCTAAAAGTGAACGGCAGTCAATAAGCTGCCAAATGCAGACGCATGCTGGTCGCATTATGCAGCGCCAACCCTTGTTCATGCAAACACCTTTAATATCCAATGTAGGACCTGTTCCAACTTTCCCCAAATTCCACACTACACATCTTTTGGTCCCCATCAATACCCCAATCAGGTGGGAGGTAGATTGAAACAGCTGTTGTAGAGAGATGTCAAGGACACACACACACACACACAATATACAGTTAGACAAACTGAGCCCGGGTAGCAGAACAGCGAGGACGCTGGTACCTTTGAAGTATTTGACCGTTTTGACTCGTAGTTCAAGGGTGGCATCCTCATCGCAGACGAAGATAGTGCGCGGGTGCTGCTGGAACGCCGATACAGTCCACATGTGGTTCACTCCTTCCTCGATGGCTTTATACAGAGCGAAGGCTTTGTGAGCTCCTGTTATCAGAATCACCACCTAAGCAGAGGACATGGATCCAGGGAAGAAGGAAGATTAACAGTTAGGATATATATATGGTCTAAATATTCAATTCATTTCAAAGACTTTTTTTTTTTTTTTTTTTTAATTCCAATTATTAACTTTTCGGAATCGAGACCGAATCGTTCTAGAGAGAATCAAGAGAAATCCCAGAATCAATTTTTCCCCCACCCCTAGTACATATAGTGCATGCGTGGGTCAGAGTATCCTAATGCTTCTACAGGACAACGTGGGATAAAAGAACTGCCTGTTAACCTCCTTGGCGTTCATGACTGTTCCGACGCCCACAGTGAGGGCCATGCTGGGAACCTTGGAGAGGTCGTTGCCAAAGAAACGAGCGTTGGCCACGATGGTGTCTTTTGCCAGGGTTTTCACTCGGGTCCTGGAAACGAGGCTGGAGCCGGGCTCGTTGAACGCTATGTGACCATCAGGGCCAATTCCTACAGAGCGATGTATGAGAAGGAACCGGTTAAGGACCAGAGGCTCTACGACACAATCTCATTGTCTGGGTAAACACTTTCTGACACGTTGAGCAAAATGTCGAAGGACTGGCTGATCCTACACCTTCTTTACTTCCTACAATCCTGCTGAGTTTACCCATGAAGGGGCCAGAAAACTCATCACAATCGAGTGGACTGACAAATCAATTGTTGGCAAACAAAAACAAACATTTTGCTAAGTTAATAGTGGATACTTTTGCATCTGTGCTAAATCGCTACCGCTGAGAAAATGATACCCGCAGCATCCACAACTAGCAAGATACGGCAGAAAACCCAACGTGTCCCACCTCCTACGAACATCTCGATTCCTCCAGCCTCGGCGATCTTGTCCTCGTAGGCCTGACACTCGGCCTCCAGGTCCTCAGCGTTTCCATCCAGAATGTGAACGTTGGCCGGATCGATGTCGATGTGCTTGAAGAAGTTGTTCCACATGTAGGAGTGGTAGCTCTCGGGATGAGCACGAGGTAGACCTGGGGATGTAGAGGGTCAATCTTCTTCCTTTTTTGTAAACCAAAGTGTTGCAGGGCCATGAATGCAGCTTTCAGAGGAAGATGGAAAACTACTATGTGAAGAACTAAGATCATCTCTATTTAAGAAGTGGGAGTTAAAAAGCATGTCCTGCTTTATGATCCAATTGACTGCAAATAGACTATGATTGACTAGATGAACCTTGAACATTGTTCAATGTACTCAATGTTTCCACCTGGTCTTAATAATCTTATAGGCGTTTCATGAACTGTTTTGATGTGAAAAACCTATTGTGTAAAGTAAGACTTGCAAATTTGATTGTGATTAGGTGAATGGAGATAAATGGCCAAAGCTTTTGGTTTTTGAGAACAAAAGAGTGGCTCGGTTAGATGGTTCAAGTTATTGACATGGATCCGTTTGTTTACACGCAACGTTAAACTTATCTGCTTCAATATGACAGTAGATAAGTAGGCAGTAGGACGGTAGATCTAACAGAGTCTGGGACAGTTACTTCACCATACAATACCAGTCATACGTTTGGACACACCTTCTCATTCACTGTTTTTGGGGATTTTTACATTGCAGATTAAAATTGAAGACATCAAAAGATCAACGCAAAAGGTGGCTACTTTGGAGAATCTTAAGTATAAAACAATCTGGATGTTGAGCATTTTTTTGTTTACCACATAATTGTGAAAAGTCTATTATCTACAGTGTAGAAAAAACAAAAATCAATGAAGTCTGTGTACAAACTTTTGACTGGTACTGTATTCTTTATTTTCTATATATGCAACTTTGAATTGTCTCTCAGAAATGAGTAGATGCTGATAAAGGCTGTTAAGAGCAGCAGATTTGTTTTTTTTATTCATACATTTGTATATGGAAGACCGTGACAAATATATTCATTTAACCCTTGTATGGTTCGGGTCTGTGGGACCAGTTTTCATTTTTCATCAAAACAAAAATAATATGATTCATTATTTTTTTCGAACTCAGAGTTACTGGCCTTGGCTCATTTTCTGCGAAGAACATATATCAGACAAAATTTTCATCGACCGCGCACCGTAACCCCCCCCCTACATATTTATATTACATACAAGGGTGTTCGGGTCCACTGGACCCAGGATAATAAAAGTGTGGAAATCGTTGAACAATCTTGTGTCCGGTTCCTGGAGATTGTTTTTTGAATCAGATACAAAACAACAAAATGCTGGAATTCTGTATCGGGCATTGGAGCTGCCAGATCAGTCACAGACCACCTCAAAAGCATTAGTTGAATCACATACTCAACACAAGACTGACCAGATGTGTGGTAAGAGGATGTCAGGTCATAACCTGCTTCACAATTAAACCAACAGCACTTTCTCTGCAGTGTCAACTTATTCACGAACTGGAATACACAATCATGCATCATTTGACCCTCCCCAAAAAAAACACATTTATTGTTTGTCTACAGGACAGAATGACAATTTTAACAGATGTTTAAAAATGTGTTTTTGAAGATGATGACCTCTCCCACCTTTGATCAGTGACCCTTTAACTCACCTACATATTCATCCATGTTGAAGGTCTTCACATATTTGAATGAGATGTCTCCACTTCTATAGTATTCGATTAACTTCTGGTAGCAGGAGTAGGGAGTGCTCCCTGAAAGCAGTGAGACGCACTCATATTGATAAAAAGTGACACAAACCACAAGAGAACGACTGGTTGTGGGAGCGGTGCGCACCTGTCGGTAAGCCCAGAGTGAAGCACCTCTCCGCGGTGGGCTTGAACTGGATGATTCGGTTGCGGATGTATTTTGCTGCCCACTCGCTGGCCAGGTCATAGTCGTCCAGAATGACCAGCCTCATGGTGATGGCTCGCTAGATGAACGGGAAGAAGACAACGGACAATGTCTTAGCAGGAGACAGGACCAGCACCGACGGGATCCATGCTAACGTTAGTTAGCGTTAACCGGCTAACGTCAGCTACAGTTAACGGTAAACTACGCGTCCCTCATCTAAAATACAGCCTTCAAATTTAGCTTTCTGTTGTTGAGGCTGAAACAGAAAGCCCGTCACAGTTAAGTAACATTGTTCACAAGCAGGTAAATTGTCCGGTAGTTGTAACGTTAGTTAATTTAATTAATTAACGTTAGTTTGATATTATTAGAAAGCAACTCAAACTGGAGCGATTTTTTCCAAATTGCTGAGAAGTCGGTGGGTGTCATTCAGATAATCTGCAAATATTAATCGGTTAGTTTTTAGTATTGCCAACACCGTTTTTAAGTTAAGCATTTGTACCTGCTAAAAACACACGTTGTTTGTTAGAGTTGAAGGCAGGTTGGTCTCGAGGTTTGTATAGTCACGTGGAGCACTTCTTGTCACGTGATTTAAGCGGGGGCTGTACTGAAGCCCACGTAGGACAAAATAAAAAGAGAAAAGTAGATACTGCAACACGTGTTTGGATAAATAGAAAGTCAGATTCACTGTTGTATCACCATTCGTAACTGTTTTCATGGCTACGTCACTTATGCAAAGGGAAATTGACCTTCCGAGCACAATTCCAGGAAACCCAGTTCCATAAATCATGAGTGTTTAAGGGTTATTTTACTTTGCACTACATTTTATGAAAATCGTTTTGTTCCGTGGAATTTTTAATCATGACTTTTAGTTGTTTAATTTATTTCATTTAAATACTACTTTTATTTAATAACACATCTTCCACATTGCAGATGAGGGTCGTCATCTTATCCAGAGGTCTTTGCCCATTGTTCTAACTCTTCATTAATTTCTCCCTGTGAGCAGCGTTTTTAATAACCAGTAGAACCCGTTAAACTGTTCTGGCATTATAAAAACCCATATAGGGAAATATAATTTATCCTAATAATAATGTTTAGTTTCAAAAAGCTGTATCCAAAGCAAACACACATTAAATTAACACATTTCACAAGATGGCTGTTTTTCAAATTTAATGTTGTAACATATTGTTTAAGAAGAAAGATCCACTGTACACTTTTTAATGAGTCTGAGTTGGTAAACAGCTAATTTCAATCTGGGATGTGGAGTGGAACTATCAGAGGTAGAAGACTGAAGGTACAACTTGTCCATATTCTTCTCTGCAGAGGAACAAGGTGATGGTCCCAGGTTGTCATTGAAGACGGGAGTCTTGGACGCAGTTAGACTTTTAAAATGTCCATTTTACTGTTTGTTCTTGTAGTCCTCCAAGTGGGACAGGATCCATCCAGATGGTCCCAGAATGGTCACGGAGAACACGGTCAATCCAATGATGGTTTCCTGGACACATAACGAGAGATCCATCAATAAAATATAAATCCTTTTACGTCATCGTTTGTATTAGTGCCTCAGCACATCTTTTAAAACCTCCCAGGACAAAGCTCCGTACAATGGGAGATCGGGCTTTCTGCTCAGCTGCTCCCAGTCTGTGGAATGCTCTCCCTGACCACCTGAGGACACCACAGACTGTGGATGCTTTTAAACGTGGCCTAAAACCCCACCTTTTTAAGAGAGCTTTTTAGTGAACTCGTTTTGTTTTTGTTTTCAAACTCTCCGTGTGTTTTTATTGTTAGCACTTAGCGGTCACCCAGCCATGTATGCGGTCCCTTTTCCTCTTCTATAAGAACACCTGCACATGTGTCCAGAACGCACACTTTATTGGACACGCAGCATTTTAGCCTTTTAATAAACACAAATCACAAAGCCCCTGCCCAAATAACACTGTAATCACCTATATTACCATCATCTCATTGAATTGAATGAGAGGGACCGGTACTGTACATTGTTTGTCTCTAACTCTTTCCTAACCGCATCAGTGAAGCTCCGCGCACTGAGCCGTCAATTAATTTAGTCTAGCGGACTTGTAGCTATTTATATTCAGTTAACCAGGTTGATAATACAGGTCGGCTCTTATAGCGAGACACACAGGCAGACCTGACACCATTTACTTTAAATATATAAAATATGACCTCCACAGGCAAGGGCAGCTAAGCTAACGGCTAGCTAGCGATGCACTCGGAGCACAAAGCAGTCCAGCATAAGTTAGCAACACACGTACAACGGTGCCGATCTTCTCCTTGGCCGGGCCGGCGTGGAGATTAGCCCGCAGGGGGACGGCGGGTCCCCGCAAGACGGGGGCAGCGCGGCTAGCGACGGTTCTCAGGAGCCCCGACATGTTTATCTGCGGAAGTGGAAGCGATGTCTTGTCGGATGAAGGAGCGTCGATGTTGCGGAGAGGAAGTGGATGAACGCAAAGGTCGTTTCTCTTCTTCTGCTCGCAGTACGTTGGTAGCGGGCGGTTTAGCGCCCCCTGCTGTCCCGGGGGCGGATGTACACGTCACGTGTCACGTCATTCTTCTTCTGTGGTCCGCGGTAGATTCACGCAAGAACCGCTCTCATATAAAAAAGTTCTATTAATCGTGTATTTCTGTATTATTAATAACTACACATTGAAGGAAAATTAGAATTATACAATATTTGAATTATAAAATTGTATATCTTGCAAATATAAACAAATAAACTTATATAGTCTCATTTATATAGACAGCTGCATTTCAGATATTGGTTTGTTGTAAACACGCTATGACTGCATCTTTATGCAATTGTAGCCAGTGAGAAATGTCCCTCACGTGGTACCGTGGGTTTAAGCCCCTCCCACTTCCCGGTTCACCAATTAGTCTGGGTATAAGGCTCCATTTGTACAACACTACAGGAGCATGCTGTTTTCCTGTGTTGGAGTCTGGTTTTGACAACCCGTTTTGAGCTGGTATGTAGTTTTTACCCGTGTTTTAGAAAGAATACATTTTCCCTTAGTGACGCTCTGGTTTTTGCCCCAGACCCAGTGCAGTGCCTCAAGGAGGCCCAAACCAGGTGGGAGCCGGCCCAGGTGGAGAGAATGCAGCCCAGGCCGTGAAGCACTGCTGTTTTGCTTGGTTTTGTTTTGTGTCTCATTTGTTTCATTTTGTTCAGTTAGATTACGTTGTGGTAGTTTTTCTGTGTCTTGAACAAATCGTGATTTGTCCCCCAGAAGTTAATTTATACACTTTATTTGTTTCTGTTTAGGAGTGCGTGGGGCTGGCAGCGGCGTGGCTACCCGGATGGTGGTGGGGCTGGTTGGACTGGGCCTCTCACTTTCTCCTCCCCTTTTTCTTAGTTGCATGTTTTTGGTTTTTGATTTACATTGTTTTGCGTGAGTGTGGATGTGGCACTGGGGGGAGTGAGGGCATTGTCCTAGAGCTTGTCCCCCCTCTTTTCCCCTTCTTAGCCCGCTGCAGCCTACGGCCCCAATAGAATTGAATTTGTTTATGAAAACCTTTCTTTGACATTCCCAGAGCTGAAGGGAATTATTGAAATTAATTGTTACCTTTTTGATATTTTAAGAAACTCCAATAAATATTGTACTCTGGGGGAATATTTTTGCTTCGGTCTGTTTATACTGGTCATCTGTGGGTCCGTGGTGGATTAATTAATATCCCTACGGGACGATAACCGCCCCTCCGTACCTACCGGTAGGTTACACAATAATTTTGTTAATGTGATGGCTAAACTATTAGATGGTCTTCTTACCACAGTTTAGACAAAGTTACAGTGAACTGCTTGTCAAAAGTGATAAATGATAACAGTAATCAGAGGCTGTAGCTCATGTCTCCTGCTTGGATGAAAGCAGATCACCAATAGTTAGCCACGAAATTCATCTGTTATTTTCTCTGCTAATAAGTCCGATGGCCAAAATTATGCTCAACTCGACTACCAGACATTGTTTGTATGATTAGCAATGCCTGATTTGTGCTTTGACGCATATTCAGGTCTCACAAGTATCCGCGTGGCCCCAGACTTCCCACAATGGGACACTCCCTTTTGTTGGGATCAGATGGTTTTCAACTGTCAGTTTCCTTGTCACGATTTCCCTGGTTTGAGACCTTGAGGATAGCAAACCCTCAATAGGCAGTAGCTTCGCAGCATAATTAGCTGTGAACATTACTACTTGGGTGTAAGCACTCTCAATACATTTGGACATTAACAAGTGAAGGCTGATGGATCAGGTAAAAATCCAGTCCCTTTAAGGCCCTTTGCATTCAAGTGCATAATTTGTCTAATTGTCCCACGGGGAACCCGGGGCCTTGGCAGATCCAGAGGACACGGGGCCCCTCTAGCAGGTGCTTGTCTTTGTCAGTAAGTAATCCGCCCTGGGTTGTGCAGTATGTGGACTGTGGAAGTGTCTCGTTTGAGCCTCAGGCATTAAATCAACCGCAGTCTTGTATTATCGAAGCTTATTGGCCGGAGCCGAGCAATTCCACGTGAGAGTTAATCCTCTCTTGTGCAGCCCTGTTGCATCCTGCTAACTGGGGACCAGTGGTATGTAATAATCCGCCTCACCCCCCACCACTTCACAACAATACCCAACAGATTTTAGTTTGACGAAGCATTTTGCAATACCGACTTTCTACATCTCCTCGCTCTTGGAATTTTTGTGTTGCCTCTTTCTTCCGAGACTGTGACCATTTGACACCTCGAGAATGGGGATTGACCCTGAAGTCAATGTTACAGACGATGTCACACTTTACGGGGGGAAAAGTGCCTTTACCCAACTGGAGCACAACATAGTGGCTGGATATCTAATCACTGCAGGTAACCGCAATGATGAACAGTGCGACTGTTGTGAATTCTGTTATTCTGTGGAAACCTCGTACAGTGAAAGTGTTCACCTCTCTGCCGTCTGTGGCCTTTCAGGAGTCTGCATTCAGTCTTTGTTCCAACATGCTTTTCAAAACATCTCACAGTTAAGGGTCAAATCGTAGTGAACTGGGATACACTGGGAATTTGTAGTTGTACTGGCTATGGAACAATTCAATTAGTTCTAAAGAATGAGATTTCCTATCAAAACACTACTGTTTGGAGGCATGAAAGGAAACCAGTTGTTACCCTTAGAGAAGTGTTCTGATATCATTATGTAACTGATCCAGGTCTTGGCACTGTATTCCAAGACCTGTTTCTGAATTCCTTCTCTCATGCAAACTTAATTTACACCTATCTTCTTTTTTTTCAATTAGCATCATCGTTCCTTTTTTCCCCAGATTGTTTGCATTTTGTATTTATCCTGGTGTTTTACTCTATAATATCTTTCTTGGATGAATTCTGCATCTCTGGCCAAATCAGAGCATTCCTTTTTGTTTAAATTCACAAAATAAATCACATTTCACAGACTCATAATGCAGTGTACCAAAGTATCCAAGGGTGGTTATTTATTGTTGTTTATTCATTAATTTGACCACAAATCATGATCTTCTTTACCCTGCCAACTAGTCCTATGGCGTAAACCTACCTAATCGTTAGACAGTGTTAACTACGCGTTACTGCGTATTTCTGCAAGCTTGATACAAGACCAAAAAGAGAGGAAGAACCTTTTGCATTCATAAACACCGTATTGTGTGGTTTACGAAATGCGTTTCAATGGCGACTGGTTTGTTTATCATACACAGAGAAGCACGGGTGGAATTAGTGACACTCATGATGCCTTTATGCCAAAAAAAAACCCAATGTGATGCAGCTGGATTCCTTATGTGGTCAACTACAGGCAACAGATCAACCAAAAAGATGGGAAAACAATTTTTGAGTGGACAAAATAGTGTTGGAACCATCAGAGGAAATAAAATACTTATGTTCTCTTTGTCCTGTGTGAATGTCACTTAATAAATAGGACCAGACGTTTAGAAGGTCGGACTTTTACCTCACACTTGTTTTTTTTCTTCTCTTCACAGGTGTCATAAGTTTATTTAGCAACATTGTTGTGCTGCTCATGTTTTGGAAGTTTAAAGAGCTGCGGACTGCCACCAACTTTATTATAATCAATCTTGCATTTACTGACATTGGAGTGGCTGGTATCGGCTATCCCATGTCAGCTGCCTCAGACATCCACGGCAGCTGGAAATTTGGTTACGCTGGTTGTCAGGTGGGTGGAATGTGTCTTCATGTGGACGTTATTTTACTTATAGAACAACTTACATCTACAAGGATCCATCCTACATGGCTAATGTACGTCAAATGAAGCTCTTGCAGACCGGTGAACATGGCTGGCTCCACGGACCCCTCTTACGTGAACTGTTTCAGTGGCATTACAAATGGAATATCAAGGCGTTTTTATTTATACAAACCCAGATTCAGTGCATTGCTGCTACGCCACAAAAAGAAAAACAAACCAATACCATGTAATGTGAATGGTTTAATAATGGTTTAATTATGGTTGAATGCACTTATTGTAAGTCGCTTTGGATAAAAGCGTCAGCTAAATGACATGTAATGTAATGTTATAACATGGTCATTTACATGGTTATAATGTATTGTTCATTTTATGTTATATCTTAAGGAGGAGGAGGAAACATTTTTTACCAAAATATATCAGACATACACAGAATTTGACTTGGTGGTTGGTGCATAACAGCAGATAGACAACAAGACAGATAAGACAACAGTGCAAGAGGAATAAAATATAATGCTTTGGGTTAAGCAGTAAAACATGAATTGTTTGGATTTTATAAAAGTTGCCACAGTATAATGTGAAATGGTTTACCTTGTAACAGGAAGGTTACATCATAACATGGAAGGCTTTATGCTCTAACAATTCATTACAAAGTTATCATGTTATAACATTAAAGGTTTGACCTTGTAATAACAAATAATCACATGAAACTTTTTACGTATTTATTTAACAATAAATCCTTTTGCGTCAACACAAACAAGACCAGTTAAATGTTAAAATAAGAAAAGGGTCTCGTAAAAGGTTTGTACTCCACACGGTCCTGCTTCAAACCACCTGTACCATGTCACACTTTAATTAACGTGATACGAGGTGGCTGCACAAACACAGGCCACGTGTTTTCTGGCAGATATGTTTTCCCTCAGCCCCTGTTATCGCACAGCTGTATTGTGCTATGGACTTTAGTCTACAGTAGGAAGCAGAGCAGGGAAACCAAAGGGATTCACCTGGATAGACTGGGAATCCTGTGTAGCGCACTGTGTACCTTTACTACAGCCGATATTCCTAATGTGCACGTCCATTCAGTCAGTCCAATCCCCTCCTGTCGGCAGTTTTCCTCAACGCACTGAGGACAAAAAGCGACTGAAAATCAGGAAGATGTATACTTGACAGTACTGCTACAATGTAACAGTAAGCTACATGCTATGTAAAATCAATGATGAGAAACTTGAGGCTTCGCTGTTAGACTTTGCTAGTTGTTTTTGAAAAATGATTTTTGGGTCATAAAAAATTACTTTTGGAAACTTGGGCACCTTTTCTGAATGTATTTAAAATTCAAACATTTGTTTGACTAATCAAATATTTGATTTGTTATAAGTGATTGGAACACTTGGAAATATCAGAGCACTGCAGCATTTACATCAAGGACATATTGACCTGCTCAGTATGTTATACTATATTATTTGTAATATCTGTGTTTTTTGCCACTAGATCTATGCAGCTCTCAACATCTTCTTCGGCATGGCCAGCATTGGCCTGCTGACGGTGGTGGCCATCGATCGATACCTCACCATCTGCAGACCAGACATAGGTGTCTACTTCCTGCTCTCCTGCTCGCCATGCCCACATCCCCCCCGCTCCCCATTTCTATAGTTAATAATTCAGTGCTGTGATAACTATTTTGTTGATGAAGGTTACCACTGTTGATTGTTGTGATGATAATATTAGAAGATGTAGATTATGATGTCGTTTAACTGTAACCCATCATTTAGAGAGGGGCTTTCTTTAGCCAACACCCTCTCTGGTATTCAAAGCAAGAGACGGGTGACTCATCCAATTGTTCTTGACTCCCAGGGCAATTGGTGACCCTTGACCTTTCTTTTTGTTCACATCAAAATCAATTGTAGACTGTTGTACCTGAATACTTGCATTTTTATGATGGGATACACCATTTTGGTTGTAATAGCAATCTTGCTGACGATATCATAATCCCACGAGTATCTCCTTACTGACTGCTGTGGCCTTCTTTTTGAATTGAGGTGTAATTTGTCTTTCCAGGGCAGAAAATGACGATGCAATCATACAACCTGCTTATCTTAGCAGCCTGGCTGAATGCTGTGTTTTGGTCCTCCATGCCTGTGGTAGGCTGGGCTAGTTATGCCCCCGACCCCACCGGAGCCACATGCACCATCAACTGGAGGCAGAATGACGTGTGAGTCATAATAAATCAACACAAAACAAAAACAAAATCCTTTAGCAAAACTTTAATATGCTACTTACATCAGGTTACCCTGCAGAAATGTAAAGCATGTCTAAGCCTAAGCAAGTGTCGGCAGTCGGAAAATCCAATCAATTTCAGCAAACATCCCAATATGACTCAATGCTTATCAATGAAGGTATCAAAAGCAAATCTGTGGTTTTCATTTAAATATGGAACATGTTTTCCAACACAAAAAAAGCAGTATATATCAATAATATTTGTGTCACCCTCAGCATTATTCAGTAATTTATGCGAGCCCCGGCTGCCCCATGACCCATGTCAAAGTGTCCCTGAGCAAGACACCTAATCCTTAATTGCTCCCTGGGCAAAAATGTAAAAAAGCCATGGGTTAAAAATGTAATGTAAGTCGCTTTGGATAAAAGCGTCAGCTAAGTGACCTGTAATGTAATGTAATTTATTTAATAATATTCTGTGTAATACAATATATGTCTGTTTAAATGCTTAAATGGCGATACAACTAACTTACTCTAGAGGGCAAACAGTCTCCACAGACATCTTTTGTGCTGGACAGTCACGATGGTGGGGAGTGAGGAAGCAATGATGCGTTGGGCAGTTTTCACCCTCTGCAGTGATTTCCAGTACGCAGCAGAGCAACTGCCGTACCACACCATGATGCAGTTGGTGAAGATGCTCTCGATGGTGCAGTGGTAGAAGTTCACCAGGATCTGAAGAGACAGATGAGCATTCTTCAGTCTTCTCAGGAAGCAGAGGTGCTGGTGAGCCTTCTTGACCAGGACCAAGGTGTTGAGGGTCCAAGAGAGGTCCTCGGAGATGTGGACACCCAGGAACTTGAAACTAGCCTAGCTTGAAAGTGCCGTGGGGATGACATCCTCCTATTCTTGCAGTAAGCGAACTGTAGGGGGTCCAGTGTGGGTGGCAAAAAGGATTTGAGGTGAGCCAGAACCAGCCTCTCGAAGCATTTCATGATGGTGGGGGTGAGTGCAACAGGGCGGAAGTCATTGAGGCTTGTTGCTTTGGAGTGGACGATGGAGGTGGTTTCAAAGCAGATGGGGACGGCTGCCTGAGCCAGTGAGAGGTTAAAGATGTCAGTCAAGATTGCAGTCAGCTACGTGCGTTGATCCGGCTCAGTGCAGCACATAGGGATGCAGTCGGTGGGGGAGAGTGTGAGAGGCTGGTGGTCTGCGGTGAGCACAGCCTTGATGGCCACATCCTTATTGCCCGTGTCGAAGCGAGCGTAGAAGCTGTTCAGCTCGTCAGGGAAGGAGGTGTCACTGCTTTGGGGGATAGTGTTAGTTGGCTTGTAGTCAGTGATGGCCTGGATGTCTTGTCACATGCGTCGGAGGTCGGAGCCGCTCTTTATGTGCTCCTCGATCCGAAGCTTGTGGCTGTGCTTGGCCTTTTTGATGCCCCTTTTCAGGTCAGCCATGGATGAGCTGCAGGCCTGAGCAGCAGAATAGTGAGGAACAAAATACAATGACCATATTTAGAACTTTCTAAACGGGTTGAAGCCAGAGGAGAAATATATAAATAAATGTAAGTATATACATGTATATATTTACAGTGCTAATATGTTACATTTCTTATAACCATTTGAGTGAAACTTTTTATCTGTGAATACATATGAAATAATTAATAATGAATGAATATTTACTACTAGCTTTGTTTGTTAGTTAGTTAGTAAAATGTCTTTTATTCTAATTATTATTAAGGATCATAATAAGTGTGTATAATATCAAGTATAGTGTTGTAAATGATCTCTCTTTCTATCTTGCTGTAGGCTACTGTTCTTGTTGTTGGCAGCATTGTTTGGAAAGGATTAGGATTTAAATCTCTGATTTTAAAACATTATCATAATGGATCATAATCCAGCATGTCAATGTTCAAATAGACACTGACTTGGAACGCTTTCCTCCACAGCTCCTTCATCTCTTACACCATGGCTGTGATTGCTGTGAACTTTGTGTTGCCTCTGTCTGCCATGTTTTACTGCTACTACAACGTGTCGGCCACTGTAAAGAGATACAAAGCCAGCAACTGCCTGGACAGCGCCAACATCGACTGGTCAGACCAGATGGATGTCACCAAGGTGAGAACGGCACCACGCTGAGCCATCGAGCTCACACTTCCTTCAGGGGCATGCTGATATAGCTACTCCCATATTTACAGTGGTTAAACAGAGTTGTCCAAAATCTCGATTTGCTATCAGTAAATCAATCAATCAGTGTTTTCAATATGTGCAACGGGCTTGTTACATTGTATAAGCAGCATAATGTGACAGAGATGATGATAATATTTGTTTATTGATAGTGAAGTCACACTGTTGACTGATCCTGTGTCTACTACGTCCGTCTCAAATGTATTGAATTTTAATCGATATCGTCTTAACCCACTCTTAATCACGCAAAGGTGATCTAAAATATGTTTAAAAGATCTTCTTTTACAAATCTACGGCAACTCCATATTTTTCGCATGCTATTTTTTAACCACTTCCGGTAAAAATCATCTGGGTTCAGGAACCTTGTGCGCTGACTCTGATGTGTTTTTTCTTTCTTTCGCAAGACAAAACCAAATGACTGGTGTGGGTTCCAAAAAGGGAAGGTTTTGTTTAGCTGCATACAGCTCAATCATCATCATCTTTCCTATAGCCTTTGCTTCGCCTGCATCTCCGATTCCAAGCTGCTCTGTGATGAGCCTCTACTAGCATTTTTTTATATTCTGCTTGATGTTTGTGATAAATCACAAACATGATGAACTAAGTGAATCAGCTCAGATGCCCTTTTGAATGATGACGTTTTTGTCACGACCGGACAATGGCCCTGAACCCAAACACACAACCCCACAGACAATGTTTATTAACAAAGGCAAATGCTGCTGAAATGAAAATCACTCTTGGTCGAGGAAAAACCCTATACTAAATCTAAGAACAAAAAGGGATCTAGAACATAAACACTAGGCTGAGAAAAAGAATCAAATCGAAAGCGCCCTGAACAAGATACAAAAAAAAGGGAAAACATTAATGGGAGACATTGTGTAAATGGGAATGTCCCCACATGAGCTATTTAGAAACATGCAACAATTTTGGACAAAATAGGTCTTGGTGTGTGCAAAGCTCTTGAAAACCCAGATATATTGTATTCCATCTCAATCATTGAGTGGGAGCAAAATATGACATCATTCAATTTACTCTCGCTAACATAAATGTACAATATTTTTGGTCAAAGCTGTGTTGCTGTGTTTGTGGCTGGCAGATGTCCATAGTGATGATCATCATGTTCCTGGTGGCCTGGTCCCCCTACTCCATTGTATGTCTCTGGGCCTCATTTGGTGACCCCAAGACCATCCCCGCCCCCATGGCTATCATCGCTCCACTCTTTGCCAAATCCTCCACCTTTTACAACCCCTGCATTTATGTTATTGCCAACAAGAAGTGAGTGATTTTCTTGTGATTATACTTTGATGAGTTGTGAGGACACCCTTTCAGTTATCGTTGAATAAAGTCATCATAATGTACTCTTTTTTTTGCTAAAGGTTCAGAAGAGCCATCATAGGGATGGTTCGATGTCAAACCAGGCAGAGAATCACCATCAATAGCCAGGTTCCCATGACAACCTCCCAACAACCCCTGACCCAGTGAGGTGAAGTCACATTGTGTTAAAGTAATCTGGCATTAAAACCAGTTGAAGAAGATTGTTTGATGAATTAACACAAATCAGTGTCAGTATTTTCCTCCCAAATAATCTAATGTAGTGTTTATTGTGTACAACAGTGCGAGCTCTCGCATCAGAAATAACAGGGCTCCATCTAGTGACATTGAGACTGTGACTCGCATTAGAATACCTCGGAAAGTTATTTTGGACAGGTAGAATTTCATTTCGATAATGTGTTACTGCGTATACCCTGTTTAGACCTGCCACTAACACGCGTCTACATCTGGTATTAGAATGCTCACTTCACCTGCCTGCTCTGTATGCATGGACATCATTTCCATTTCCACACTAAAGGCATTGTTGTTTTTAACCAGACACTACTAATGATTTAATTTCCTTATTTGTATGCAGCTGGCTAACAGTGAGAAAGCAATATGTCATTGAACTGTGACGCTGAATCCCCCCCTGTTGTATCAAATACTGTTTCCCCCCTACCTGATAGGATGGGGGGGTTAACAGGACACTGTTAACACTGTTAACAGAACACTGGCACATCAGATGTCAATACGATCATTTTGATCAGTTCATTTGTTTTAGCTGCTCTCTTGCATGATACATGCTTTAGGGATCTTAAACAGGTGTTTCATCACGTCATCATTCTTTGGCTGGATCCCTTCACCAAACATTCCTTTTGCAGGATACATCCATTTCTTCGCATCATGTCGCATCATGTAAAGCTGTCAGAAATTAAAATAATAAGCACATAAAAATCTTGAGTTATGGCCCAAAACATGTTTTGAAGTAAATATTTGAGCAAATATTTGAAGAAATTTTGTCCAGGTGTTCCGGATACATGTCGTTTACAAGAATAGACACAAATGCACAAGTTGAGTAGGCGATCTTTCAACGTGGGCCAGGACGCCGCTGCAGAATCAGCCATGGTCATGGTGCAAATTCAGTCGTTTAAGTAAATGTTTATTCATTCAACTCTTCAGTATACAGTTCCATTATTGCTCACAAATACAAACGACAGAATGCAGCATCACTAGTTAAAATTTACAAAAATATATTCACGTGAGAGTTGGTACTCATCATGTGAATATATTCTAGCTACTAGATATATTCTAGCTACTTGATGAGAATTTTGATTAGAAGTAAGAATGTGATTATATCTACAGGGGACTGTGGAGGCTCTGGTCTTGTACAGGTGCGGTATTTGGCAGGCTGTTGCCCCTTCAGGCGACGTTGCGCTCCAGCCAGTCTCTGATCTCGTTCTCATTGCTCCGGATCCATTCGATGTTGTTCCTCACCGTCTCCAGTGCCTGCTGCCGAGGCATCTCCCCGGCACCAGCGTTTGGAGTTCGGCTGAAAAAATGCTCCATCTGTGAAGGCAGCAGAGACACATGTTTGAAGAGGCCTACCTCTACTTGCTTTGACAAACGGTATCACACAACCAAACATCTATCCCCTTTCTGATCTATTTGTAGATAATGCCCATCCTTGCAGGGCCTTTATTTGTAACTACAATGGTGACAAGTTCTCTATGGGGCGCCGTTTGTAAAATGTTGCACGTTCTAAAATCCTGCAGTTTTTCCACATTTATCATTATCATATGAACAAAAAAGCACGACAATATTCACATGTCACTTTTTCAAACATTTAGAGAGAAATTCATGTACATTCATGCAATAACTTTTCCAAGGATAATGTTTGGCAGTAACCAAGTTGTTAAATAATATAAATGTTAAATCTAAATGTAAATGTCAAATGTTAAATCTAAATGTAAATGTTAAATGTTATATCTAAATGTTAAATCTAAATGTAAATGTTAAATGTTGAGTCTACATTTAGCTCTACATTTAACATTTAAGACTTGACGACTGAACATTACAATAATTACGGTAATTCACGCCGCGGCAGGACAAGCCGGCAGGTCCGGATGAATTAGCTCTTGTTATAGAGCAGGGGTGTCAAATTTATTTTAGGAAGGGGGCCACACACTGTCCACGTTGAAATTGAAATCATGCGGGAGGGGGGTTCACGGGCGCGGAATGTTGCGCAACCCCCCCTTGACCGGACCATCGCCGAGGATTTCACCGCGCCCTGCCCTCACCCCCCCCCGGGCTGCTGAAAATCTGGGATTGGTTCGTGTCAATTCTGGACAAATACTCACCTCATTGGTAACGAAAAAAGCCCCGACTAATATCCACATGTCACTTTTTCAAACCAGTAGAAGAGAAATCCATGTACAATCCATGCAATCACTTTCCAAAGGATAATCTTGGCAGCTACCCAAGTTGTTAAATATATAAATGTTAAATCTAAAATGTAAATGTCAAACTGTTAAATCAACATGTAATTGTTAAATGTAATATCTAAATATAAATTCTAAAGGTAATTGTTAAGTGTTGAGTCTACTTTTAGCTCTACATTTAACTATGACAGACTGGACGACTAACCATTACAATAATTCGGGGTGTTCCTCGCCGCGGCAGAGCACGCCGGCAGGTCGGTATGAATTACTCTCTGTTTATAGAGCGGGGGTGTCAAATTTTTTTAGGGAGGGGGGCCCCCCCCTGGCCCACGGTGAAACTGAACCCAAGGCGGGAGGGGGGTTCACGGGCGCAGAACGGACCGGACCATCGCCGAGCATCCGCGCCCTCGCTCCCCCCCCCCCCGCCTGCCTTCACCAAATCCTCGGCGATGGTCCGGTCAAGGGGGGGTTGCGCAACGTTAGCCGGCAGCAGAAAATTGTCTGTGAGGGGTTTCTGATTTCCATTTATTTTCATTTTCGACATAAACTTTCACCACTGTTTCACCAAGGTGAAAGACTTTGATAGAAGTTGTGAGATGCATGTACTGGTAAAATATATTATAACATTGTTTTGTGCTAAGGCCGTGTCTCAAGTGTCCTGTATTTGACCCTGAAGTGCAAGGAGCAGCATGATACAAAATGTTGCTTTGCAGCTGCGCACTGAGAAGGGAGAGCGGTTAACTCGATCTTGTAGAAGCTTCAAAACAAAGGACTCCTGTTCATGGCCTTGGTTCATATCTTATTCGGAGCTTTCGTTCCGGATCCACGTTTTTACTTTATGTCAATTAATAATGATTTGCACCGGCCACTGAGGAGGATCTTGTGTGTGTGTGTGTGCTACCCTCAGCTTCACCTGGGTTCTTATCTCAACCTGCTTTGTAGCTTCTCGTAACTGGCACGGAGAATGTTCGTCACATGTGTATAAAAACTCAGCGTTTTCACTGCTCGGAGACGTCATTACGCCGAGCGCTGAGATACGTGCTGCTCTATTGGACCTCCTGCTTGCAAGCAATAGTTAGAGCCAGATATCTGCGGAGAATTGCTCATGTAATCTTTTTCTCTTCTAAATAAATGTTAACTTTTGACTTTAATTGATCAACGTGCTGCGATTCTTCTCATCAACCAACTCGGGGGGATCGGTGATCCTGACAAAGTTGAACACAGTCGGTGAGTGCGGTCACCTCTCAGGCATCCTGGAGTATTTATCAGTTTTTGTGAAATATGTTGGGGGAGTATTTCTTTGAGAAAGAATAATTAGAACTGTGCATCAAGATGTACTGTCCGCTCATCAGTAAAAATAACTAGATGCTAACAAGATGAGATAGAAGTTGCACCATGAGGACAATGCCAACCTTCCATAGCTGCAGCTCTGTGTTGTAGGAGGTGGTAATCCGACCTAGAAGGCGACCAAGGTTCCGGTCGTTGATGGTGTACCTGTTGAGCAAGAAAAGTCATCACGGTGGGGGAGCGCTCTCCTGTGAGCTATGTAGAGCCCCCTCCCAACCCACCACAGTATGCAGAGTAATCACTCCCCCACCTCACTCAAATCCCTCTTCTCCAAGGATCCCACAAGCATCCCACTCCTCCCATCCTCCCTTTGCCCTTCAACAAACACCCTTCAACAATGTTCATATCCCAAATGGGGATGGCAAACAGAGAAGGCCGATTCTTTACCAGGGTGACAGGTACCAAGACCAGGGACAGGGATTTAAATATCTCCTCAATGATTTCACGCAACGTTTTCACCCAGTTCCTGCTTCTGCACCAACCTTGACTCTATGCTCCCTGAACTATACATCGTCAACACACTATTGGTTACACAGGTCAAAGAAGGAGTTGTAAAAGGCCCATTTTGACGATCCTCCTTCTCCAGTTTTTCAGGAATAGGTATTACCGCTAGGAGGCATGTGATAGTGGTAAATTACCCAGGTGGCTGACACATCAGCAGCGCTATTTCTGGTCCATGTTGCACTGACCTGTTGACCAGGTAATCCCAGTTGAGGGTGGTCCAGTCCCAGGCCATGTTCTCCCCCAGGGGGTTGATGGAAACGTATCGCACCACAGTGAATAGATCCTGACTCCTCACCACGCTCTCATCTTTACAGGCCTCCAGCAGCCTGATGGACAGAACAAAGGTTCCATTGATATCATCGGGCTAAAAGTAAAAGTTGTGCGGCAACACAGAGGAATGTCCCAATAAAATATGAGAAATGGAAAGTTTACTACATATGTCAGATACAGTTGAAACATCACAGTCACCAAGATCAGCAGTGAACATTCATATTTAAAATGTTATGTCTTTATATAGGCGATATCTGTTTCAGCTCACTCTGTTAGAGTGAATTGATTTTCCTTTAACTGAGGGTGAGGGGGCAAAACATCCAACTTTCCCCATGAGCCAAGTGATGCTTTCAGGTTATCAGGTATGATAAACGGTTTTAATTACCTGTAGAGGAGTTCAACATTGTCCACAGAAGACAGTCCATACAGCAGCTTGTCCTTCTCTTGAGCCAGAGACGTGTCTTTGTACCTCTGGAACATTATGTTCCACTTTGCTTCGGTGCCCGAGTTCTTCATGCCATATCGATAGACCAGCAGCCTCAGGTTCACTGCCACGCTGCTGCAGGTTGAAAGGCCAAGAAATGTTAAAACCTATACTTACCCTATCATTTTTTGGCCTATGCTCTGAAAAGGGTAAGTGTATATGTTAGTAGTGAAGAAATAAATGCATATGGCACACAGAAACTAAATATCTACTACATGACATACATGATATTATGAAAAGACACGGCAGTTTGTATACCTGATACTTCCATTGATCCACTGGTCGAAAATGCGAGAGGCTTCGTTCAGAGCTTCCTGATCTCCCATCTGACAGGCGATGCCAAGTGTCGTCTCCCTCAGCAACCTACCGGCAGCCAGCAGAACACATGAACCCATGTTGCATTGTTGGGTAAATTAGCACAGAGGTTAGCATTGGGTTAGCATAAAAGAACAAGGAGAAATGTGAGTACTCGTTCTGCACCTCTGCGTCTGTGTTCCGGCGTCATTCCATCCAAGC